AAGTCCTGCATCACGAATAGTCACTGCATTCAGTGGTTGAAGGTCATGGACTAACCTAAGTTTGCCACTTTTCTTGAGAACACAGAACCAGCGAGATCGATAAGATGATTGACTTTGCTCATACACGCTTGCTGCCATCTTTTCCTTGAGTAGTGTGACTACCTTTTCCCTGATACCAGGTGGTATGGGAATATTGGTGTAAGCCCAAGGAATATGAGGCACAGTTGGAATAATGTATGGAGTAAAGTAATCTTCTCGAAAGGTCCCGCGATGTTCTTCTTCAAAGACAAGACTGTTTTGATTAAGCTGAAGGATATGCTTAAACAGATTTTCTTCTTCCAAGCTAAGAAATCCATCTGGATTTATGTTCATGCCATCTAGACGTTCTTGAGTCAGCCGACCATTTTCCTTGAACTGGGGTGGACAGCACGATAGTGGTGGCAAGGAATCGAGAGGGTTTTCTGGAAATTGTCGACGGACACGGGATTCCTCTGGAAATACTCCTGGGACTGGCTTGACTTTCTTGTCGACTCTCTTATAAGCAGTAAGCACTTCTGCTCCACTCATCTCGTAGATACATTCATCGTCAGGTTCCAATTGAGGGTAGAATAAATTAGAATTTATCCTAGAATTTATTCCGATGAAGGATTGTCCAAAGGAAAACTGATGTTCCTTTAAATGAGTCTTTCGAATATCTGTACTTGCTATGTCTCTTTTTGAGAGGTCATCAGATTTTCTGACAATAGCGTAGAAATGGACTTGAGGAGAGTCAACTTGACAGGTAGGTATTGAGGCTTTCATCCTTGAAGCAGTGTCAGAAATGTTCAGGGACTTGTCCGAGTTTCGTGCGAGTCTTCGGCGATATTTTAGGACAGAGAGAATGAGCTTGTCGATAGAAATCCTAAGTGCATGTTGAATGCATTTGGATTTTCTATTTCGAGTTACTTCACTCAGGTTTCTCTTGCTCTTATTGAGCCCTTTCCTGATATTGTTCTTATGAGTGTTCTTTGAGAGGTTTGAGTCAAAAGACTCTATTGGTCGGAAGGCTGATCTGGCGAGCAAGGAGTACATGTACACTAGGAATGTCCGAGTCAAAACAAAGTAAGAAAAAATAAGAAGAAGAAGGAAGAAATGATCAAGTCCGAGGCTAGTGTCTGTCCGTAAAATGAGGTATGCAAGATGTCCGATACAAATATAAAGGAAAACATTCAAGTCCGAGTCAGAATACATGAAGAAATATCTAAAGAAAAAACGAGCGAGTCCAGGTCTATGTACGTACGAAGAAGGTTCGTGCGAGTCGATATGGCCAGCGTCAAGGATGACGACGGTGAGAAGAAACTCGTCAACGTTGACGAGCCCTCCCTGCCACTGGCGGTGAAGGGAAAAGTCTATTGGTAAGGTCTGTCCAGAATATTGAATGCACGTGAGGTAAGTGTCTATGAAAAGGTCTGTGAGCGCGAAGGTCATTGCTAAGTGAGGCAATGTACTTACGCGCGATCCGAAAAGGGTCCTTAGGGTGAGCTGCAGTTGTCGAGTCAAGTCCAGGTTACAAGTGTCTAACAGAAAAAGGGGAAAAGGAAAGGAAAAGTCCTTTAAAAACGTCTGAAGGCAAATGCGTTGACAACGGTCAACGGCAATCGAAATCGAAGTAATGGAGCTGAGATAAAGAAAATCGGTCTGAGGACCTAATCGTCGAATGAGACGATTAGTGGATGCGTTCCCTAAAAGATTTCGGGAACGTACCTCCGTTAATTGGTAGGTCGTCGCACTAGGCGGACTGCCCCACGTCTCCAAGTTCACCAGCGATACGTCGTCGGTGAATGTTGGCCACGGTTTCTTCTCCATAAGGGCAGAAGTGAAGCATAACATCGATATGGTTGCGAAAGTGAGTCGAATAACTGCAGTGCTGGTGGGACCGAGTAGAGTAGTAAAAATACTTAATTTGCCATAGATGTGCCTCTTCTTCTCCATGAAGGTAGGGGTTGCCTCTAAAGCCTTGCTTGATTCGAAACATACGTCGAAATCGGTCCCGCAACCAACTGTTGCTGTCGTCGTCGAGTCCGCGTGCGTAGGTCCTAGCGACGAAGGGTAGACATAGGTCCCGCTCGGCCCATTCGCCTAGCGTATGGTAGTCCTGAATGAATTCCCTTCTGGTCTTGAGGTCGTCCTGGCCATGCCAGATGTTGTTGAGAAAGGGTACGGTGTCGCGAGGCGGAAGGGGATTAAGAAGCCGTTCAGAGCGAAGGGAGATGTACGTGAAGGGAAGGGATCCAGATCGAATGGGGAATATAGGATTACCGTTAACGATAAGGGGTTGGGTGTATTGAAGGGCCTGAAGATCCGTGTTGGACCATTCCGATTCTTCAGAGTCGTCGTGTCCATCCTTAGTCTCTTCGGGACTGGGGGCTACCGCGAGAATCTTATCGAGCTCATGTTCGAGCTCGCGTTGTTTCTGCCTGGAGACAGGTTGTCCAGGTAGAGTGGGGGTCATTGTGACAGAAGGTAGATGAGATTTGATTGAGGGGGTGTTCGTCGAATGCATCGATACGTCGTCGCCGTAAGTAGTCTTCTTGCCCGTTGAGTCAAGAGGGACGTACGCGGGGAGGTCTTCTTGAAATAGGGACCTTCTTGCCTCGTTCCAGAAGCGGCGTAGGGAGCTATCAAGCGTAAAGTCGTCCGAAGGGGATGTGGTTCGAAGGCCTTCCAGTGTAGGTACGTTTACGTTAGCCGTGAATGCCGATACTGGAGGAGCTGCTGGGGGAAGTGACCAGATCGTGGGGGAGTACTCCGGCGTAGAGCAGGGGGTCGTTGACGGACAGCAGGAGGCAAGAGACAGCAGTTCTGCACGCACCGCTGCGTGGTCCGATCTCAAATGTCCATTTCGTCGGCGTGGATCCTGGCTCCTGTAGTAGGATGGTGTGGGTTTACGTCGAACCACTGGGTCCTCGAGGAGAGAAACATTCTCCGAGGATGTACCTAGCTTAGATGTCAGTTTACGGCGATGAGGAGGTACGTACCTTAACGTCTGAGGTCCGTTTACCCCATTCCTTTCTACCAATACTACCTCGTCATCTTCATCCGTCTGGTCTTCTTGGGACACGAATGCGCATGATCCGGCGGAGGCGTCAGGCGAGGGAGGAGGTCGAGGAGGTCCTAGTGGAAAAGCTAGAGGAGGGGGAAGCGTCTGAGGTGACTGAGAATAGAGAGACTGTTCGAAGTACGATCGAGACTTAGAGTCCCAATCGATGAAGCCTGTAGCGCCGGACGGTCTGCTAGGGTTAAGGCTTGGGTCGGCCGAGCATTTGAGGGAGTTCGGGGATGCGGAATCAAGCCTGATTTCCGCGGAAATCGGAGGTACAGCGGAGATCTGGGACTCTGGGTCTGGCCACGAGTCTCGATCATTCTCTTCGATCGAATAGAGTTCCTTCATACGTTCCTTCCTCTGCCTTTTCCATTCTTCCTCTATTTCTCCCTCTTCTAGTTCCTCTTCCTCTAAACTAAGCATAGGTACGTCATCGTCTTCTATTTCCTCCCTGACTTCTCTCATCTTTAGATCTTGTTCTTCATCCAGAGCGAGCGCGAGCCCTTCCCAAGTGGGTTCAGCGATCTCGGTCTCTCGGTCTACCACGACGTTTAGCATACCGCGGACACGACGGACGTCGGGCTCTCCGGTCCATATGGAGGGCGCGTGGACGAGCGTAGCGTCATCAAAAATATAAGAGCACGTCGTACCTTCTTTACTTTCTGTCGACGGTAAGGCTTGAGCTTTACCAGAGGTGATTGACACTTGGCAAGTAGGATATTCCGAATCCAAGGGAGGTGTTCCAGATAGGTGGGATTGATTCAGTCCGTCACGCGGGATAGGAGGGGGACGATTCGACATACCGGCTAGTGCTGCAAAAGGAGCGAGTGCACGTAGGCCGTATTCGGTTACCGCAAACCGAGGAGGAGGGGGATGAGTAGCGAAGGAAGGGATTGGTGCCATTGCGCGGGTAACTAAGGTACGTTCGAGCTGTCGTTCGGGTTCTTCAAGACAGATGGCAGTTCTGGGACGGCCACACTGACCTATTCCTTTCGTCAATCCTTTTATTTCTCTAAGTAGATCCCCTGTCTTCGAGTGGAGGGCTTGCGCGTCCTCGACGGTGTTCTCCATTTCGACTTTGTTATTGACGGTAAGCAGGCCGATCCCATTCGCATACTCATATATTCTTTTAAGGCCTAATTCAATGGGGACTTCGCCCAGGAGCGTCCGCACCCTCGTCAACAAATATGCTAAGGTTTCCGCGTCGAAATTCGAGAACGCGGACCAAATTGATTCTCGCAGGCGATCTCCACTCGTCGTCTGCGAGACGCGATTTCTATTCGGGTCCGAATTAGAGGGACGGTCTCGTTCACCGAGCGTAGGCCTAAATTCTTCGTAAGTGTTTCTCCCGTTTCTTCCGATTTCTTCTGTTCTGGTCCAACCGGCGTCTTCTCTATTAAGCATGAAGAATGGCAGGTTTTCTCCGCCGCGATGCCTATTGAATGAGACCTCCTTTGAGTGCGGTACGTAGGGGGGGTGTACTGACTGGTCAAATACTGCATTTTCTTTTATCATAGACATCTTTGACGCGTCAACATGGACGTCAAGGTATTGTCCTTTGTCTGCATCTCCGGTCAGGTAAGTTGTCCCGTTCTCGGCATCCAAATTACTCGTACTGACTTCCTCCAAGTTTTGCAGGTCAATCTGTCGATTTTCTGTATGGCGAATATCGTCCGTTGGTCCTGGAACACTGGAAGAAGGGTTCAGTCCAAAAAGTGAACAAAAGAGAGCCGCGTCGTTAGTCAGATATGGGGTTTCCTGTACATATAGCCTTCCATTAGCTTTATCCCAATTTTTGTCATTGACTTCGACTGTCAAATTAAAATCTTTCTGAAGACTGTCTAAGTCTTTAGAAAATTCGGGTATGATGTTGTATGTCTCTTTTCCCTTGTGGTCTTCACGGTGTGTAGTTCCAGTTGAATGAGTAGAAATCTTATTCAACAAATCCTCTTCTGGGCCATGTCTGCTCTGTCGAAGTTGGCGATAGTCTTCATTTAGGTTTCAGTCAAGATCTCCACTGTCATCACTTCTGGAACAACCACCACGTATTCGCAAGACTTCATCATTGGTCTCCCCGGTTGAATTCAACTGTATGACCAAATTTCGTGCAGCAAGTGCTTCAGATGGGTCTCGTTCTTCTTTATCACGCTGAATGCTCAGCTCAATTTCAGTTTTTAGATATTGATCTGCACTTGGCAAACGTGGAGTCATGTCTAAAGGATCAAGCTCATCAAAACTTAAGGAAGCAGTCTTAGAGGGTCCTGAATCAAATTCATCAGGCAGGCTATTTTCCTTGGCTTGATTTTTGCTCTTGCTGTCAAAGAGTCCAGGTTGATCATCTTGCTGTCCGCTAGGTTGTTTGATGATTTCCATCTTGTCCTCGGTAGTCTCAGGAACAGGTTCTACTGGGACAAAAATAGGACCGTTCCACTCATAGTCTCCAGAAGGATATCCAGGACTCTTCTTGAATTGGAGATATGCATCCACATGTCGTACAGCCATTGGTCGAACTGACCCTGGTTCAGCATAAATTAGAGTAGCTCCTTTTATGATGAATGCATCCACTCGTCGTCGTGTTGGTTCGGTAAACTCTGTTAATACAGGACAAGCTTCATATGTCCCTAGAGTTAGACGAAATTGAGGTGTCTTGTTACGCCAAATTACGGACATACTCTTGGAGTGAAGTTCTTCAGATTTAGTCTGTCCAACATCCTCTGTACTTTCACTTGCATATATCCTAAGAAGGGCAGGAGTAGGGTTATTATCTTCAAAGGGTACTGGTATAGAGGTCAATGAAGGTCGATCGTATTGGAATGCTGAGAAATACATTTGGTCCATGTCCATTTGAGTCTTGACATTAAATGTATCAAATTGAAATGGCCGTAATTCTGGAGCATCATCATCTTCTCCTTTGGTAGACTCTGCTTGACTATCCAGATGTCCCTCAGGCTTTTGACTCTTGTCAGTAGGGTCAGGAGGACCTTCTGCTGGAACCAAAATAGGTCCTTTCCATTTGTGATTTTCCAGATCATGTTCCAGACTGTCTTTGAACTGCAGGTAGGCATCCACATACTGTACAGCTGTTGGTAGCTCAGATCCGGGTTTGGCATAGATGAGAGTTGCATCATTTATAAGGAACGATTCAACTTGATGCCTGGCAGGTTCAGTAGAATCTGATTGCAGAGGAAATGCATTGAAAGTTCCTAGATTTAAATGGAATTTTGGAGCCTTCTTGAGTCTATGAAGAGAATCAATCTTCTCATGTAAAGCTGAGAAGGAGACTTTCCCAATACCTTCTCTTCCTTCAATCGCATATCTGTCAAGGATGCCTGGAGTAGGATTGCTATGGTGAAAAGGTAGCAGCATGGTGACTAGCATGGGTCGGTCATATTGAGATGGGGAGAAGAAGAACCTATGCATCCACATTTGAGTCCTGACATCAAATGCATGTTGAAATGGTCGTGGTTCTCGTTCATCTACTATCTCTTCTTCAAGAAGCTTTTCTGGAATGTCGGGTTCAATTGTCAGTCCTTCATCAGCTTGCACAAGACCTACTCTTGCAGGGGAAGAATATGTGAGGTAGTCAGAGATCTCATTCAGGCTAGGATTGGTAGGTTCAGGATTGACCAGTAATTCATGTCGCACATTCAAGTGCTTGTCCTTGAAAAGAAGGTATGTACCATCCTCTCGTTCATCAATGGACACATAATTACCACGTTGCCAGGGTCGTCCTAATAGAAGCTTGAATGGAACTTGAGTTCCGACATAGATATTTGCATGAGTGAGTACTCCACCACAGTTGAGAGGTACATTGGGCACAAGTCCACTTAGCATTCCTTCTCCACTATTGGCATCACTCATACTAATCTTTCGTCCTTTATCCATTGGCCTTGCAAGTACGTCCTTCCAGATTTGTTCATGTGCAATATTGAGCTGAGATCCAGTGTCAATGATAGCATCAACAGGTACATTGTCACAATGCATCTTCAATTTAATGAGAGTGCCTCTTGACCGTGCAATAAAGGAAGCTGAGACTGCTGAAGAATTAAAACTGGCAGAGGTTCTTGCTAATGCCGCAGTAGCTTTTGGAACATGTTGAAGTTTAGTGGCAGGCTTAGGCTTAAGGACATCCAGGAGGTGTGTGCTCATTTCCTTTGACATTCCAAAGACTTCTCCAACAGCTAAGGTAACAGGTGTATTCAAGACTTTAGTGAGCACATTGAGACGATCGACCTGAGCTTGAATCTCAGAACGTCGAGGAATTCTCTTCTCAGGTGAATGATTCTCCAAGTTCTTTGAAGCATTCCTTTCACCGAGTGGCTCTCGCATTCCAAGTTCCTCATCCATGATGATATCTGAATGATTGTCAACTGGAATATCTCTTTTCACATCAACAGGTACAGGTTCAGGTATCTTTCCATTAGATGGGTACTCAAAGTTCTTCTTTCTTGGAAGTACGTTCTCTTTGTTTCCCTTTGCTGATCTTGTTTTCTCGTCCCTTTTGTCTAGAAATTTTCTTGGGGGCATTAAGACTCCTTCGAACTTTTCCTTTCTAGCAGCAGTAGTAGACTTGGGAGTTCGAGTCACAGGCCAAGCGGCATTTCTTCCATCTCCTTCATTATCACTTAGTTCTCCATCTTCACCTACTTCTTGATAGTCCTCATCTGTTACTTCTTCAATAGTGGCATGATTGACAGCTATAAAGTTGGCTTGAGGTGTAGGATGCAAACGTACTGCAGCAGTTGCCAAAGGTTCATCAAATGCAATCTTCATGATCGGTTGTCCATTTGCCATGACATAGCGTCCGGCAGGATCTCGACTCACAATGCCTTGAGATAGAAGTTCAGTCATTCTGGGACAGAACCTTGTTCCATGCCCAGTCTGACCACATCCGAAACATCTTCTATCACCAGTAGGTGCATTATCCATGTGAGGAGGCATCTGCCTTTGCATTGGAGGTCTAGAGCTATTATTGAAGAATTGTCCAGAAGGTTGAGCATTTATCCTTTGATGACGTTCATTAGGCTTTGGTACAATATCAGCAACCAAGGGATCGAGTCGACAGGCTCTGAAGTAGGATATCGCATAGGCAGGATCCTCAAGTGACATCTTGTTGAGCTGGTTGATAAGTTCCTCAACCTCACTGTCCTTTTCCTTCTTCCTGGTTAGTCTTGCACTCTTGTTGATCTTGGCCTCGGGCTTCTCTTCTTGCTCTGATTTCTTCTTCTTCTTCAGCTTCTCTCTACTCATCTTTTCCTTCCGCTTCTTCCTCAACTTCTTCACATGCTGTGCTATTTTCTCATCATCTGAGCTATCAGAATCTGAGTCAGAACTTTCTGAATCACGGTCACTGTCTTCAGAGTCTTCATCTTCACTTTCGTCATCCTCATCATCTGACAGATATCCCTCTCTATCAAAGCGGTTGCGCTGCAGGAGAGCTTTAGCAGCTTTGTGGATGCTTTCCATGCTGAATGGATTGCTGAGATCATGATCTGGAGTCTTGGCAAGTAATCTTGCTTCCAGTCGATGTCTAAAGGGTTTAGGGATTCCCTTCCAGAAGGTAATTGCCTGAGTGTCCTCAGTAATCTTTCCTTCTTTTTTAAGCCATCCAGCAATCTTGATGAAGCCTCGATTGTATTCTTTCCAGGATGAAAGATTACGAATAGTCTTGTGGTCAGACTTCCAGTTCTTGACATATATGACGAGGTCTTTGGGGCGGTATCTCTTTGAGTCTCTTTCAGCATCATAGAACTCCAAAAGGTCTCTGGTAAACTGATCCCAGTTTCCTGACTTATAGCTTGAAAGTCCTTCCATAAATTCTCGTGCATCCCTTGAACAGTACTGCGTAATATTCTCTATCTTCTCTTGAGCATCGGTCACTCCTTTCTGAAGACAGAGTCTTTCGTAGTGCTGGACAAAAGGCTTGATCTCTGAGTACTTTCCTTTGAATTTCTTCGGAGCATTCTTCGTGCCAGGGATTGGTAGGTCGATTACACCTAGGTGTTGAGGTGTAGTCATTGCAGTAGCGGTAGTGTGTGTAGGGATAGGGTTTTGAGGTGGAAATGCAAGTGTTGAGGATGAAGGTGAAGGTGTTAGAGGTGATGATGGTGGTGTTGTACTTCTCAAAGCACCTTGGCTGCTCACACTTGAAAGCGATAATATGGCCAAGTCAGAGGTATCAGACATACAACAATTAGAGTAAAAACCCAGCCCTCGCGGTGGGCTCCACTGATGTCGGTCAGAAAAAGAAAAACACTCTCAAAGAGATGAGAGGCCAAAGGTTTCTCTTCTGCAGAAAAGTTTCCGGGTGAGACGTTACACCGGGTCTTTCCTGTTGTTCGTTTGGGGTGAGGGGAGGTTTACCGTGTAGTCTGACAATAAAGTAGACTTGACTGGCTATACCACTGAAAGGAGTGTGTTTTTAAGGTAAGTGAAGTCTTAAGCAAGGTATGCCTTAGAGTTCACAAGAGAAAGGAAAGGGATTTAGGATAGCAATCTCAGATTAAGACAAAGTCAAAGATACACGAAGGTACAATGACCAGCTTTTCTTAAGAAAAGAGTAGGTGTTGAGAAAATTTGAAAGCAGCAGAAGTGGCAGATCGCTTCAGGCTTTTCACTTGCACTTCACAAAGAGAGAGTGTCAAGCTTGGGGACTTTGAGCTTTGCAGGACTTTAGAAATGATAGAATTTGGGGCAGAACTTTAGGGAAATTACAGGAACTTGAGGGGCACAGGCACATTACTACAGGAAATAAGGGGCTCATTATATACAATCTAGAAAGGGGCTGTGCTATGGATGACCAAGCTAAATTTGTAAGAACTTGCTTCGCTTACTTGATGAGAGAATGCAGGTGCTTATTAATGAAACATGAATTTAGCACTAGAATCCATGCTTGAGTCATCTATTTTCAGCCTGGAGTAGTCTAAACCAGTCTCAGGCTGATTCCAGATGCTTCTAAAGGATTCTTTACTTACAAATCTGCATTCTTTCCTGACTCATAGGGGTGTCTGATGACTCATAGGGGCATCCGATGACTAAGAATGACTTAAGATGAGTCAGAATGATCTTTTGATGAGTCACAATGGCCTTTTCTGACTCATTAGGGGCTTTATGAGTCATGGTGAGTCTTGATGACTCAATGGCCTAGTGCTTCAAGAATGAAAAGTCCATTCTGTAAGGAATGGAGAGCTCAGTTGTCGATCGATCAAGATTTGATGATCGTGCATCAGATATTAAGGTCTTTCGATCAGTTGGTGCTTGTATGGCCAGGTGGCTTCACTTTGCACACTACACCTTCCTTTCTGAGATTCCTTATCTTATCTGGTATCACTTGGAGATTGCCGAAATTGAAGGTTTGATCAGTTATTGTTCAAGAAAGCTGAGTTGAGTGACGCACTCTTCTTTCTTCAAACACCGCACTCTTTCTTCTGAAGTGTGTACTTGCCAGTATTATCGTAAACTTTGGTAAGTTTGCTAAGCATCCTATTCAGACCTTCTGGACATATCTCTAAGTCCATAGGATCTTTTGTGGACGAATTAGGTGCTTGCGCGGTACTTTGAACAGTTGGTATTTTCTCAGAAGTTGGGAATACGTTGAAAAACCCTTTTGACAATATGAGCTGGGTACGTATCTTCAGATCATTTAAACTCTTCATAACTCATTAAAGAGTGATCCCCTTGTAGATCGAAGAAATGAAGGCTTTGGAGCCTCCTCCTTCAAGTACGAAGGTGTTTCTTGAAATCTTTGGTATCATCTGTGGAGTCGTAGCCTTCCTTTGTGGAGTGTATCTTATAATGAGGTACATTATTAAACGTGAAGATCGCTCTAGGAGTTCAGGAGGAGGACCGTCATTGTAAAACATGTACTTTGATCCATATTCATTATGTTGCCTATCTTCACCTCGCCAATTTATAGATTATTTATTCATCATCATGTCACCGTAAAGTAACATGCTTGAAGATGCGAATAAACAATAGTCTTGACTGATCTGCAGTCATTTCCGGTCTTTTCTGAGCATACACAGACTTTACCAGTGTTGAAGGTCCAGTTAAGCGCCTACTGCTGACGTGGCACTGCCAGGCGATGATACTTGTCTTTAGAAGCTGTCTTCTTCAGACAGATTCGAGTTTCAGATCCACCTGTCTTGAGATTAGGTAAGTCTTACTCCTTCTAGTCTGGTTTGGTCATATTCACATTCGACTTTCAGATTCTGAAACTGCCTCATGGCCACTACAACGTGTGTCACCTTGCATGCGTGTTCAGAGTATCAGTCTAATGTCTTTTTCTGACCTATCGCTTCTTTAGGATCATCCTGGAGTCTTCCTCAGCTGCTCCCACTCCTTTGGCTTATACCACGGTCTCTAAGCCAACAGTAATTGGAGTCGTCGTCCTCCTTGGTACTTTGATGTTAATCATGGTCGCCTTGTGGCTTTGGTGTATGTTCTTTGCTCCTCGACGCATTTCTCGTGGTGCACGCAACCATGCAGCAGCTCCTATTGCAATGGTCTCATTGTCTTCTATTCACTTCAAGACAGTTATTGTCCCTTCCACTCCTTCATCTTCATCAGCCCCTCCCTTGGATTCTTTGACTACTTTGGCTCAGACTTCATCGTCATTGGTACATTCCTCACGTTCTTTACCTTCCATTCTTCATTCTCGTCACTCTTCCTCTTCATCTGTAGAAGATTTGAGGCATACGTTGTCAGTTTGAATTAAAGTCGGACTTGAGGTTGAGGAGGTCATTTATTGTACTTGTTGTCATTGGCATACCCTAATTATTGTCGTATCTGCAGTGTGACATTGTCTTGGACTTTCGTATTCAGTGTTGAATATCGAAGTGATCTGTCCATATGCCAAACACTTTTGGTGCAGGACAACGTACGCCGTCATCAATGTAGCCTAGAATACATCCAATATATCCCTTCCATCATTCACGTTTAGCCTAGATCCTCTTCACCTCATTTACACTCCACTGCTAATCTCCTCGCCCATCATCACATCCTTCCTTCATTCGGTCTATTCCATCTTCGTCACATTTTTTCTCACTCGCAACTGCCGCATGTCAATTTAGATCAACAGCATTCTCATCATCCAATAAACAGTAACCTCATGCACACAGAATTCCCTCCAAGACGGAATGCATGCACCCAGCCCCACCGGAATCCCGTTCTCACTGCATTTACATCCATCTCCACAGAATTCCATCCAGGAGGGAATCTCTGCACCCATCTCTTCGGCGCTTCTCCCACCCATGTCTGCCACTCTCTCTTTCCGTCCTGGACGGAACGCTCACCTCACACCACCGACGTCCATATGCCCCTGCCCACAACCACCGACCCTGCCCCACAGACGCCCAACCCTGCCCCCTAGCCGCCCAACCCTGCCCTCTAGCCGCCCAACCCTGGCCCACAGACGCCCAACCCTGGCCCACAGCCGCCCAACCCTGGGCCCTAGGCGCCCGACCCTACGCCAGCCCTAGGGTCGGACGAGAGTCCCCATAACCTAAGCCAGAACAATATAGTGGAGTCTAAGAATCTACAGACGACGTGACCGACACCTATTTAAATAAAACTTGACCAGACCAGCCGTACAATTCGCGCCGTACATCCTTCCATGCAGAACCGCATTGGTGAGACTTGATGCCGTGGAATGCGATGCGCGAGATGTACGGTGTAGCTTTCAAAACCTTGCACAGACCTGGCAAGTCAAGAGGCATAGCGAGTTCCGACGCTGGCTTGATAGCAGCATCAGAAGAGAATTCGAAGGTAACAGATTGTAGGGGGATCGGGTTCACTGCGTCCGCAGCAAAGCGCGTGAAGAAGGGGATAATCCAGGCGTTAGACGACGACGATGTCGGAGAAAGTGACGTGAACGTAAGAGCGTTCAGCGTCAAGTTACGTATGAATGCGAGCGGAAGGTCTGAGGGGGGATCACGTTCGTCAGTCACATGTGTCCATTTCTACTATTGAATCTCACGATTGTATATATACTCACCTACGAAGTCAGTCCCTTCCTTTAACCCTATCGACAACCTCTCTAGAGATCCCCCAACGACGCCGAGAAATGTGTTAACTGCATCGAAGTCATGCGCTTCAAGAGCAGCGAATGTTACATTTCGCAGCGTCTGGATGGACGGTGTCAACAGAAGCCAGCCGAGCAAAATGGCCATTGGCTTCGGGTTTGCATCGACTCGGAGGGAGGTGAGTGAGACCAGATCGTATACAGGACTCGTGCCAGATAGCCCGCGGGGAGTGGATGTACCGGATGCGAGTGGCGTCAGGCTGGTAAAGGGACTGTGCATGCGTCCCTCGTCATCCATTTCAAGCGATTGACCTACAAACATCTGTTCGATCCCAAACGTGACGTTGTCTAGCCACAATTCGTCGACTTTGGGAAGTCGTCCCAGCAGCGATCGAAGCTCTTGGAAGGACCTCAACGACGAATTTGCCAGATGAAGTGATCGGACGGAGGAAAAGAGCCCGTATGACGAGATGGAAAATGAGGAAGGTTGCCAGAAAGATAGGAATGATTGGATATGCAGGGTGTCTAACAACGGGAGCCTCAAGGACAACGCGGAGGGCACAAATGCCTCCCACTGCGTCACGGAGCGGCTCGTTGGATGAGACAGACCAGAAGTCGGCGACGGCTTGGATATGGAAAGGGTATGGATATATGGTACGATACCTGGTGCGCTGTTCGATGATACGAGAGACGAGAGGTTATCCAGGTCCTGTGCGTCATTGAGCTTTACAGCATTGAAGATGTGATATCTGCTGGCAGGTAACCAGGTCTTGCAGGTGAGTGCACAAGCTCGGAGGGACGTTGTATCGTCATAGAGGAAGTCTATGGTGTAGTCGGAGAGTTCTGGAGGGAATACGGGCGATGCGAGGGATGACATTACTGTTCGTTGCTTATCGTTTTCGTTGTCGACCAATGCCGGTGGATATATCTATAGCGAGGTGGGAGCTAGTGGAGATGGGAAGTTTTGTCAAGTACAGTTCTATACTGGTTCTATCTATTATAAAATCTATGAAAGAGGATGAGAAATACGATCGAGGAGCCGGAAAGGAATAGGAATAAGCAGGAACAGAGCAAGCAACATGGCCAATACGCCGGAAGGATATCGGACTTCCGCCAGCGCCTATGCAAAGAGCGAGCTCGACGCGTGTTTTTGCAAACGCTCACCGACGTTGCACCGACATTTGCGTACAGTATATTAATTGCTCCTGTCGGTGTACAACATGTTCAGAGCTCCAGTTTCGCGTAGACTGGTGTCTCGACTCTACAATCACCCAGTACGCATAACTCGTCGGTCGGCTTCCACCTCGTCTACCTCCATTTCGTCACCAGTTCGCACCGGCTTGTATGCTACCGTCTTCACCATCTCTGCAGGTCTATTTGCAGTCTACTACTTCGACTCGCGTTCGGCAATTCACCGTTATGTTCTCACTCCGGTTTTGCGCTATGCGCTCGATCCTGAGACTGGACATAAGTTCGCCGTAAAGGCGCTGGGAAGTGGAATTGCGCCTCGAGATACGCAACCTGATGATGCCTGTTTGAAGGCGGAGGTAGATCGTATTCCTGTTCTCACCTTTGGCAGATGGTAACCCTTGTTATGTTCGCAGATCTGGGGGGAGCAGCTCTCCAATCCTATCGGGATAGCTGCTGGTTTCGATAAGAATGGCGAAGCCATTGACGGTACCTCGATCCACATCTCTCTCGTGTACAAGCTAACTCTCCGTCTACCAGGCCTCTTCAATTTGGGCTTCAGCTGGGTAGAAATCGGAAGTGTCACTCCGAAACCTCAAGTACGTTCGTTTCTCTACCCACACAGCTCCGTTGTCGGGTCGAAACGTATAACATAGCTGATATGTCGACTGACTATAGCTACGTCTTAGCCCGGCAATCCCAAACCACGCGTCTTCCATCTGCCTTCTGACCGCGCGCTGATCAATCGATACGGTTTTCCCTCCGAAGGACACACTCTCGTCATAAGTCGTCTTAAAGCACGCATTCCTACCCTCGAGGAGGAAGATTTCGAGAGGGGTGTCGGTCCGGCAAGCCTGCGAGAAGGCAAACTTCTTGCGGTCAATCTCGGAAAAAATAAGAGTTCACCGCCGGATGCCGTCACGGATTTCGTCGAAGGTGTGAAGAAGTTCACAGGGTTGGCAGATGTGCTGGTCGTGAACGTCTCCAGCCCAAATACGCCTGGTCTGCGGTATGTCGCACTACTGCTTCTTCCCTGCGTCTCCATAGCTAACAATGGCCTTAGTGGCTTACAAACCCGAACGCTACTCCAGGAGCTCCTGACTGAGGTGACCAAGGCTCGTGATGAGACGATTGCCCATCTTCGTTCATCCCGGACACCAAAGATTATTCTGAAGATTGCTCCAGATCTAACCGAGTCTGATGTTCTCGATATCGCGGAGGCCGTTCGCACGAGTGGCGTCGACGGCGTTATAGTCAGCAACACTACGATTCAACGGCCGCCCAATCTCAGCCATCGTACGAAACATCTCTTATCTTCTTTTCTCCTGTCCCTGACATTTTTTCGTATCCATAGCTAACAAAAGCGAAGTTGGCGGTTTATCGGGGCCTCCATTGAAGCCTATCACGCTCTCGATTCTCAAAACTCTCCGTTCTAACCTCCCGTCGTCGATTCCTATCATCGGTTGCGGCGGTATAACGTCCGGTTCAGATGCCCTCGAATATGCCAAAGCAGGCGCCACCTACGTCCAGCTCTACACTGAATTCGGGTATGATGGTGTCGGTACTGCTCGAAGGATCAAAGATGAGTTGAAGACGGAGCTTCAGAAAGACGGAACGACGTGGATGGATGTCGTCCGACGGAGCGTTCAAGAGAAGAGCTTCAAGGAACAACCGAAGCCATTACAGCAAGGCGAAGCGACCGTGGAGGTTCTAATTCAGGAGGCGGAAGAGCTGAAGCTGTTACTTGATAGTTTCGGAGAGAAATTACTCTCGGGGGCGGATTCAGGGGTGTCTGCAGAGACAACCGCTTCTTGAAGACCGTGTGCTGATGGCACCAGGTCACGATGTCGTGCGTCTTACAGTTGGTCTCGTTATAATCGCGAAGGCGTTCTTGTAATGGATGGATTCATTCGTTGCGCAATGATCCTGTCACCCTCGTTGTTGACAGCGTACTAGACTAATCTGACAAGCTCTGCATTTTGTTTAATGCTATTCGACACCCTCGAATAACATACCTATCTTTTTTAGGATACCGTTGCGCAATACTAAAGAATAGGAGTGCAATTAATCACTCTCATGGTATTGGTCCAACACTTGCAGGACCCCCTGTGTACATCCATTCCGAACTCACCATTTTAGTTATTGAAACGCTGTTGCCATAGGAGGTTCTCAAGACGTCCATCTGGTACAAGCAGGCTCTTCAATACGAGTGTGGAGTGTCTTGCCGCTCGACTCCTGGACGGATACTGTTGACTTTGAAGCTACCTTTAGCTTGGTTTTCATTGTGCGATCGGAACTTTGAATGACGGGAGCGGTCCTGCCTCTTGCTGAAGTTGTACCCTCAAATGCGAAAGGTCCGCGATGAAGGTTGACGGGATGATTGTAGACTTCCACTTCGACGTTTGAAATCCACCATTCCACTTCTCATCATTCCCACAAGAATCCTTAGCGGAGTCTTCACATTTTGTTTATTTTCTTAGTGAGTCCTTTTTCGGAAGCTTTGCGATCTTCGGTGGCCTAGAACAACATCGCGGAGGAGCTTTGGCGTATTTCGACTTCATTGGACGGTGCTTACTTTACTTACTTGACCATTTACGACGGTTCACGAATCATATGGCAGCAGTCAGCCCGAGTGTTGCGAGACGTTCAATCGTCATTTCTACGGCGAATGGCTCTTCCGATGACTTCATATTCGCCCTTGATGCGTCTCACGCCGCACAGGCACCTCGATAGGACTTCGTCGACAGGAGTTCATCGCAGAACATTTCTCGCATCTGTCGAATGACTAAACCGCTCGCGCTGGCACTATGTTTGAAACAGGGTTTTGGCTTTATCTGGTTGTGTACCTTGGCTTGTGCTGGGCCAGGCACCTTTCTGTATTCTGCAACTGCGGGATGTGAGATTCCATTGCTAAATGGGTTGTCCAGGTCTGTGGTCCTCTAGACCTCCACTATCATGCACACCACATTAGCTGGTGGGGTCATAAGCGAACCCGTATATCGATTGGCTGACTGAATGGGGTGCTCGTCGTTAGTGGCCGCCAGTTCCGGTCCGTCACTCCCCAACGCTACACGACAAGATATAGATCTACAATACCACGCGTATACTGAACGATCGCCGTGTGACGTACCGGTGATTGACGCTGTCCTTCGAGCTACTCCTGCCCAATTTCCCCGAACGTCGCCCTTCTTCACCTGAACTTACCATACAAACATTGGCATGCATAGAAAACCAACTTCTTGGCATTGCATAGAAGAAAATTTCCGGCTGAACTTTCCCCAAATCGTCAGGCGAAGGGGACCTCCTAGCGTCAAGTAATAGCGCAGGGTAGGATTTCACGACCCAATAACATCGGTGGTGATAGCAGTAGAAGAGTATAGTCTTTCATAAGCAAGAAGGCATCTGTGTGGTGATATGCCGTTCTGATCACCCGACCGGTTTGAATTGGAGACAGTTTCAGGGGAATATTTCAGAAGGCTCGACCTTGATGGAACGAAATGCCTGGTGATACTATCCAAATGCGATGCCAAATTAACCTTGTCTCCGACCATGCGCATGCCTTCGAGAACGGCTGCAAATGCTAATAGTAGGTCACGATGGAGTTGTTGCGTTCGTACAGAAAGGGCCTATACACCTCTCGTAATGCCGGCACGGAGGGCCGCGGATAATCGTGGTAATGGTCCCCAAGCCCATTTACGTTTTCTGTGGTGAGTTCCCTAGCAGCGCCACATAGAACCATCTTTCTACACTTACCCGAGATGCTCTCGAATCTAAACCTTCTGTTGGATCTGAGGTTCTAGGGCCCATGGACACCCTCTCGATCCGGAGGTTTCAGCTGGTCTCCCAACCGCACTCATATACTGAAATTCACTTCCATTCATAACTCTCCTTCTCTGTGACCCTCAACTTCTGCCCCGTTCTAGGACACGGTCTGAATAAACTCTGTAATATGGCCAAACAATACGCGCCGCAGCTGGAGGTGCCACGCACGTCCACGACAAGTCGACATCGCACTTACCCACCACTTCGTATGAAGGCTCCTCGCCTTGAAATACCGAAGGCTTCGTCGTATGAATCCACTAGGGACCCGCTCCCTCGAAGGGTGGCTTCTCGCTCGCCTCTACTCGGGGAATCTGAGACGAGGCCTGGGTCAACATTGCCTAAGTCGGCTTCCAGTGATTGTGACCTAGCGTCGAGCGGAATGTGGCAGCTCGTTCCGTACGACATTCCTTGGGGACACGACTATTACCGGTACAAGGTTGGCTGCTTGCCAGGACCTGGTGGCGCCTGCATCTTTTTGCGAACACCTACGCCGGTCGAAAAGCGAAGAACTACACAGGCGTGTGTCACCTGTCGTGAACGAAAGGCAAAGGTTGGTCACATTTTATCTAACTTTTATTTTCTCACTAAATTGACCTATCTATTCAGTGTAGTGGCTCTCGTCCAGCGTGCGCGCGGTGTCTCTCTCGTGGTGTATCCTGCGAATACGGCCCAGACCCCAAACGCAATCGAGTCGAGTCGAAACAAACTCAACGTTACCATCATTCCTTTCCTCACCCCTATTCTCCCCGCGATAGCTGTTCATCAAGCGTGTCGTCTACGTCCGACCGTTTCGATGATAGCCCCCTCCCGTATGCATCCAGCGAATTTTCTCCTAAGTTCGAAGACGAGAGTCTTGCTGTGTTGTCTCCTTCACCAGCTTGGACTTCGTATACCACCTCCAGTGATACTCAGCAGACGTCTTCACGTACTAATGTGGGAAATTTCGGAGGAGATGAAAGGACTTCATTCTTGGACCAGAAGCACGATCTTTTACGCAGGCCTTCTAACATACCATCATTCGGTCCCATAGAACCGGCTCCTTCGATGGTTTCCCCCAACACTGTTTCACTCGTTGCGCCCCAGCCACGTCGTTTGTCGCCAATCTCGACGCTGGAGCAACGCGTGCGTAGCTCCGAAGAGACTGCATTCGCGCTTCAGCATACGACAGCCACCCCGTTGTCACCTACAACAGTGGATCCTAGAATGCTGGATCATCAAATCTTGAACATCCACTGCCCCGACTCCTACGTCGATCCGTCCGCTGTATCCTATTACACAGAAAATTATTGGTTTGTACTATCGTATTTTTGTTTCAGCAGCGATTTGACCTTTCCCCGCAGTATTTCGTATGAGCCCGGCTCCCAAGGCGATTATATTTCCCAAACCGGTTTTGTCGAGGTCGCGCAGCGCTACTATGGTGTTTCCACCTACATCCCAGAGCCTGTGTACGAAAATCCTGCTCCCGCCCAGTTCACAGCTGTTGCCGTCCCACATCACCTCCAAACGCCAGACGTCCCGCCATATGCTCGTCCCTCATTTGTGCCGGCGTATTCGGTATACGCCTAATCACCCTGCAAATTCCGAATTTGCTAAAGCCTTCAAGGCTTCGTCGAACTCTTTCTATCTGGACTATCGGTTGTTCCATAGACACTTCTTATATCATCTCCGTCGGACTTCGATTGTAACAATCTTCATGGACTTTCGTTCTTGTCGTCACTGCCCCTAGTATACTTCTCATGTGTATATTTATCGTCCGTTTGCTTTCCTTGTTCTCGTAGTCAAAATATCGATTCACAGCCTTCTCGTAGATTCTACATTATATCCACTCCTGTATACCTTCGTATAGTAATGAATGGGTCGGCCAAGGGCTGACGCTGCCGAGACTGTTATTGTGTAGAAAATAAGCCACCCTTCGAAGTGCACACGGCAAAATGAAACCACATCAGAACGTTGGAAATACACGACATCGTGAACCATCGCGAACCAAACACTACGGAGGCAACGAGGGAATCACGCGTTGGATGCGACGATAAATGTGGCATTCCGTAGACAAACAAGGCAAGAGTTATGAATGACAACAAGGGAATATTCTATAACCATCAGAATACGCCGCCGGGAGTGGTATGTTACCAGGAGGCAACCTCGAATGAAGTCGCCACGAGAACAATCACTAGAAAGTGATGCATAGATGTCTCGACATTAGGTGTCGGAACCCGAAACAAGGTCTACTATATTATGGTCATGATAAAGTAAAGATAATCCGACGTGCAACGTACCCTGCCGGCGGGACGATGATAGAGCACTCGCCATCGAACAATCAACGGCGAACTACGTTCTGTCTGGTTTAGGTATAGTGGGAGGTTCCTTAAGAGGATTTTCCTGTCGAGCTTGTTCTAAAAGAGTGTCAAGTCCCTTGTCCTTCACGGCTTTCTAGAAGATATGTCAAAAAGATACCGTCCATATCACGCCCACAGAAATATACCCACCTGAACGCATTCCCGATATTGAGTCCAAATCTTTCCACAGTCACGCTCGTACTCAGCTGCCTTCTCTTGAGAGTACTTGCTGCGCTGCTCTGGACTTGCAGCTACTGCAGGTTCCAGATAGCCTTCAAACCAGGCATTAAAGCACGAGTCGTACTCCCGCTTGAAAGGGGTGCACTCATCGGTGAGGCTGTTAGCCATTACGCAGTGAAAGTCGGGAGGACTAGAGGGTAGATACCAGCATTGAGTTAATACGAAGTTAACGAGGGCTGATTGTTGCGTCTACCCTCGGCCCGTCGGTCGATCATATCAGCCACAATGCAAATAAGCATAACCAGAGGCGGGACTTCCATTCTCGGATACACGGCGGGCGCTGGCGGGCGTTGCATACTCTCATCGTCGACATGGTGCTCGTACTTGTAATTGGCGACTTCCACATTCCTCACCGTGTTCACGATCTTCCAGCGAAGTTCAAGAAACTTCTAGTTCCTGGCAAAATACAACAAATCCTGTGCACAGGCAACCTATGCGACCGAGAGACATACGAATACTTGCGTACTGTTGCACCGGATGTACACGTAGTGCGGGGGGACTACGATGAGGTGCAAGCAGCTCTGAGTGCTGTATAAATTTACGTTCTGACCTAACGGACTCCAGAGTCCTTTCCCTCTGTCTGTTACCGTGACCCACTCGCCAATACGGATAGGCGTCATACATGGTCACCAATGCATTCCGACCGGAGATTTGAATTCTTTGAGTGCCATTGCACGTCAAATGGATGTCGATGTTCTTGTATCAGGCCATACACATAGGTACGAGAGAGAATGTTCATATGAAAGCCACTCGTTATTGACTGCACAGTAGATTTCAAGCCATTGAACACGACAAACACTTCCTCGTCAACCCTGGTTCTGCATCCGGGGCGTGGACCGGTACCTCCAATGGGTGAGAATCATCATTCCCCACTTCATACATGACTCATCATGCTTCCGTTTGCATTGCAGCGATCCTATACCTTCATTCGCTCTTATGGATATCCAAGGTCCTGTTGTGGTAACATATGTGTACCAGTACATAGATGGCGAGGTAAGAGTGGACAAGATTGAGTATAGGAAGGAGGTAGAAGTCCACAAGGAGGCACCAAAGAGTACGGTGTTGCCTCAGAGTATCCCATCTAGCCCTACGCCTCCGCAGGCGCAAAGTGTTTGGTGATCTCACTTCAATTCCGGTCGACCCTATCGTGATTTTATGTTGTGTAATTCTACTCCTACTGTGTATACCAGTGAGTCAATTCGTGACCATGTCGACCCGTCAGGACCTGACACTTTTTTCAGTTTATTTATCGTTAGTCAAATGATACAACTGGGAACGTTGTATCGCAGAGATGCAACGCTTTGCTCCGTCGTTCGATGGGATCGTTCTTCCTCAAAATAACTAGATTCATCAAATACGCAAGTGAGTAAGCTACTGGTACGATAGTTATGTATGTCGGGGATTCAGAATACGTTCTGAATAGATGGTAGAAGCTGGACGCTTTTATGATGGTTTCGTGGTCCAAGCGGTTTAGAGCGACTGTCTGAGAGGTCTGATGTCGACCGTCGGTGGGCTAAGTCTGATGTCGGCACAAGCAACCCACGAGCCGCCGTATTATTGTTGTCGTCCGTGAATGTATGAATCTCCTTTCGTAGAGGAGACCCCGCATTCTCTTCGACCAAAAGGTCAAGCTCAAGAACCATGTTTCCCTCCTTCCACTTCTCAGGCCACTCATGGGCTCGAACGATCTTCCATCCAATTGTCATGTTGCAAGAAGCACATGCTGCACTCTGTACGGTATGTGCCCCGGAGTCCATCAACAGGAGCGTTGGAGGCTGTAATGTCACTCTAGCCCTAATGCAGTGTTACTCCTTGCGACGCGCTATACAATCTCAGAGCCACTCAACTCGAACGTTGTTGCGAAGAGTGCGGCCCTACCGCAATTCCCTCTGAAGGCCTAAAAGGAAGCATGGATCAGAAACTCTATGATCTGTCGCTCCCATACGTACCCAAGATAGGATGGCCTTGCGGGAGGCGATGCGTGATCTACACGACTTGCACGCTAGGTACCCTTTGGGTCGCAAAGACCCTTCGCCAAGGTCAGGCATACTGTGTTTAGAACGAAGAACGCGAGTCATAGGCAGGCCAAATTCCATGGTTATATAATGAGATAGGATGGGTCGGCGTATGGTCAGCTCGTGCGAATAGGGTGCCCTAGGCCGCCGCACCTCGCTAATGAGTTTATAACACTCATGGATACGCTTGTCGGCGATACACCGTGGCAGATAGACTATTGACTGCCTGTCCGATGAATTTCACTTCTGATGATAACACGGTGAATACTCCGTAAGTATAGTTAAGTATAGGAACTGAAGGGTCCTCTCAAAGGGATGGTGGAAGTCAAAATGACGGTGAGCAGGAAACCGGCCGGCCAGGCGTGGCGTATTTATTTGATGAGATCGCCGCCGTAAGCCTGTACAATGTGGAACGGAGACAACTCGCAAAGCCTGTGCACGCGTTTCTGACCCGAGTTACAACCATGGCACTACATTGCCGCGCCAATCTTCTCTACTACGACACCTTCCACATTGGGTATGAGTTGCGGTCATATCTTATCCCATGTGAAACGGCGTACGACCTTGCGTTTGAATTCGAAGCCATTACGGCTGGTATCTGTGGGCTACTAACATTTGGAAGTCTTTAGACAGTCTCCATGATGGGACGAGTGCGAGCATTCACGAGCAGACATGTTTTATTACCTGGTGCCGATTTGCCCGTCCCCGCAACTATCAAGGTGGACTCAATGACAGGCAAGATCACTGATATACGACAAGGGCTGACAAGTAAAGACGAATATCCTAGCCTCGATGAAGGGGACTGGATCGACGTGGAAGACAGGTTGATTCTTCCAGGCCTTGTCGAGTATGACAACACTCGCTTCGGTTTCTCACTACGATACAAAGTCTTGCGCTGATGTTGGTACTTGTTTAGTGCCCATGTTCATCTCAATGAACCAGGTCGAACAGACTGGGAAGGTTTCTGGACGGGCACCAGAGCAGCTGTCTCTGGCGGTGTCACAACCGTCGTCGATATGCCGCTGAACTCAATACCGCCGACAACCACTGTCAATCATTTAGAGCAAAAACGAAATGCTGCTCAAGGACAGTGTTGGTCAGATGTCGCCTTCTGGGGAGGCGTCATTCCAGGAAATCAGGCAAGTTTCGAGTTCACACTCTAGAGCTATGTTGACCGCAGCAGAATAACAGTCGCATTTGAAACCGTTGGTTGGGGCCGGTGTGAAAGGCTTCAAATGCTTTCTCATCGAGAGTGGCGTCGAAGTGAGTAATCGGTTTGGTAAATGCCACATTGCATAACGATATTGACATAATCCAGGAATTCCCATGTGTGACCGAGAAAGACTTGCATCTAGCAATGCAAGAAATACAAGTGAGCGACTCTCGTTGGTCACGGAGGGAGCGTGTAATCTCACCCCAAAGAAGGATAGCTCAACCGTACTCTGCTTCCACGCTGAGCTGGAGACCGGCATCTTATCAGCTTCTACGATCACTAGCAACCCAACTCTATATGACACCTTCCTCAGCTCCCGACCTCAACAACTGGAAGTCGATGCCATCCGGCTGATTACTACCCTTCATGCCCAGTACCCTTCTCTCCGTCTTCACATCGTCCATCTATCCGCTAGCTCAGCTCTACCACTGGTTCGGGCAGCAAAAGCTTCTGGGCTTCCACTCACAGTCGAAACCTGTTTCCACTATCTCACGCTCACCGCGGAGCATATTCCACACGGACATCCCGAGTTCAAATGCTGTCCTCCCATCCGGGAAGAGAGCAATCGTGAAGAGCTGTGGCAGGCTTTACAAGATGGGAGTATCGACTGTGTCGTTAGCGACCATAGCCCATGTGTCGCAGCGTTGAAGAAACTGGATACTGGGGACATAATGAATGCCTGGGGAGGTATCAGCACGTTAGGCCTGGGTTTGAGTCTGCTCTGGACAGAAGGACGGAAGCGAGGGATTTCGATTGGCAAGATCATACAATGGACTTCAATCAAAACTGCCAAACATGCTAGTCTGGATGACAGGAAGGGGGCGATCAAGGTAGGATACGATGCAGACTTCGTCATTTGGGACCCAGACGCAGAGATCAAGGTATGCCCGGGGTGCGCCCATATCGCGCAACGTAGGATGCTCACGACGGCGAATAGGTTACGAAGGAATCATTAAACTTCAAGAATAAGGTCTCGCCTTATGAGGGTCTCACGTTATCGGGCAGGGTTGAACAGACATATCTGCGTGGGCACCTTGTATACGACCAAGCAAAAGGTTTCGCTGAGCAGCCAGTGGGCGGAATTCTGTAGATTCAATGTATAATATATTATTGAACACAGCCCAAGTTGCGGAAACGAGTATCAAGTCACCAATAGAAGAGGTCGGATTGTTAGTAGTCTCGACGATCTCTTCGTCTATCGCTATCACGATCCCGGTCTCTGCGAGAAGAACTGGACTCGTCGTCCCTCCGTCTATCGCGCTCCCGGTCCCTGGACCGCTCTCGATCCTTGTCTTTCTCCCTGTATTCGTCGCGTCTACTCCGGTCGTAGTCTGAACCATAGCGATCACGCTCGCGATCTCGTCGACGATCAGGCGAAGGTGACCTTCTTGAAACTTTTCGTGAGGATGAGTAGGATGGGGACGGCGAACGTCGACGTGAAGAGCTTCCGGATCTTGAACCACGTTCTTCACTACCATGCCTGCTATCATCACCGTTGGGTTTTTCCACCTTCAGGATAGGCATGTACTTCCTCTCTGGTCTGGCTTTCTTTCCACCCTTCTTCCCTTTTCCGCTTCCATCGTCGTACACCTGCTTCTCCTTGGCTCCGATACCCAGCAGTGCAGGTCGAGCCTGTGGTAACCACGGCTCAACCAGTCCCTTCTCCTTCCCATCCGCTCCCTTCCGTTTACTAGCCGCGGTGCCCTCTTTCCAACCCATCCCTCTGAGTAGTGCTGCGCCAAACTGGGACACCGGGACACGTTCATAGTCCTCGAGTGTTGCAGGTTCTGGCAGCTCAACGACGTCTTGTTTGAAAGCATCGTCTTCGCTGATCACCGCAGGAATGATGTCTATTTGCCTTTCGTTGGCATGTTCATCGGTGACTCCTGCAAGAATGGCACGCAAAGCCTTCTGATCCTCTGTTTCTTGCTCTAATTTGACTTCCTCCACCGTTTCAGTTAGCGATGTACTAACTGCGCTGACTTCGGTCTTGATATTAACGCCATCTTGCTCGACTTCCATCTTCACGCCTGTACTTTCTTCCAGCTTCACCCTCTTCTTCAGCTGCAACCCAGCCAGTTGAGGACCTGATTGAATCGTATCCTTCGTGCCAAGCCCACCAACACTTCCATCGGCTCCAGTGGCTGCAATAGCACTTGGGGGAACGTAGAGACTCTTGCGTTTGCGAGCAAGTTCCCTCCAATCTTTGTTCTTGAGCGGGGGAATAACCAGAGGTCCTTCTGGTTTTTTCTTCTCATATAATCTGTCAAGGAACGAGGCTACTGTGAGTTGAGAACCAAACCTGAGAGAGAAAAGAGAAGACACAAGACATGGAAAAGAGAGAAACGGGGTGTAATGAGATTTAGACGAGACAGGCTCACCGCTGAACACCAAACTGATCGAAGCCGGTCACCAATTCATCCTGTATCTCTTCTTCTTCCTCCGAGCTATCTCGTTCATGATATGTCCGGGCCCTAGATGGTTTGGGCGATGCAGGCGCACTACGAGCGAGGGGACTACCCGGTGTGCTGGCTCCATTGGTCAAGTGCCGGGGAAGGGCAGGTAGTTTGAAAGACGAGTCTGAGTCCGCTCCAGTTGAGCTAGCTCGCGAGACCGGTGTTGGTCGACGGATAGTAAACGAGACTTTGGCAGGCCCTGGCGAATTCGACATTGTAGCATATGTTGTCAATGAAGAACACGTCGAAGACACAGTGGTGGTCACTGTCTAAGGACTTGCAGTTGAGCCGAACGCCATGCGAGACGATGAGCGGGGACCTTACGTAATAAGTGGTGTCCCAAAGCAGAATATCGCAGACGAACAAGAACTTGTGGATATCGTCAGTCGTCTTCATAGACAAGTCCATAAACCCGGTACGATGCATATGGATAACATATAAATACAGGAGCGGCACTGTTGTACACAGAATAATAGGAGACCAAAAGATACATAAATGTCCAACCCGGGAGTAAACGCACTCGCAATTCATCTGTCCGTGGCACTCCACCGAGCCCAAATCAGAAGCTGAAGGTCTCCGCCGCCTCGTACTCACTCTCTTTGACTTTCTCGATTCTCCAGTTGTCTCCCTCAAACGCTCTCTTCATCTTCCAAGACCGGCAGAGCTGCACCTCCCTCAGCGTTGGGCAAAACCTGTTCCACGGAATCAACAGGTCCCTCATCTCCTGTTCTATTGAGTCGTAGGAGGTGTCAAAAAGGTAAGGACTACAACTGGCACTTGGGAATACTGGAGAGACGGGAGGTGACACAGGTGGTGATGTGAAGAGATCACCGTGATGATGAGTGGTTGTAGTAGCGGTCAGGTAAGAGAATACTTTCTTCGGGTGGGGAGCTTCAAGAAGATGGAATGTGTGCAAATTCTCGCAGTGAGCAAGGTACTGCGGTCCCAGAGAGACCACCGTGTCCTGCAAGTTATTCCGTAGGTATAGGCTTTCAATAAACTGCATGAGAAATCACGTACCTCCTGAGGCCCGCCTCGCTGATAAGTAATCTTCAAACGACGAAGCTGCTTAAAAAGCTGGGAGATCGCTATGATGATTTCGTCGTCCCAAGTTCCGCACTCGATTGCTAACATTTTCAATGCCGGATGCTGGTTGGCGATGTGGGCGAGCGTGTCCAAGATAGGTGAAGGGAGGTCGCTCCACAAAATGCTAATAGCATCCATTTGTTTGCCATGGGTGGCCAAAAGCACTCCTTCCGGTAGACCTTCGAAACAGGTCATGTTGCCTACGGACGCAGAAGGAAACGGGGTGTGCTGCGGGAATGGCTGCGAAATTGAAATCATACGGAGAGTCGGACAATGAGAGATAACGCCGTAAACGTTCCTATCCGGAAAGTTTGCTTCATTGTGGAAGTATGAACTGCGTTCATGAGTAACGAGCCTTCTGCGATCGATATACAATTTCGTCAAATTGGCAGGAGTGTTATAGACGAAGTCGCCAGCAACCTGGTCGAAGACGTAAAACACTCTGCCAAAGACGTCCGCTGTCGTGTCAACACGGAGAGTGCGAAGATTTTGGGCTCGTGCAAGGTTGAGAACATGAACAGCGTCATCGTCCTGGTTGTGGTTATGAGCATGGCCTTGAGCATGGACATGACCATGATTGTGTTCAAAAGCCACCCGAGCGCCCCTACGACGTAGGTTCAACAATGTGAGGTCCGTGATAGGGAGAACGGAGTGGTCCCGCTGAGCGATGGCATTTCGAGCTGGAAGGATGCAGTTTTCGACATGCAGTTTACGGAGAGCCGGAAGAGTATGAATGACAGAAAAGAATCGGTCTGTAATTAGTATATGCTTGCAAGTGAACTCAGAGAGGTGACTGAAGGTTGCAATGCGGTGGGTGATGCGATCATATAGCTCTTGGGAAGCATAGCTACGATCGACCGTGAAGAAAGGATCCAGAGCGGACGTGAACGAGAATTGACCATTTTGGGGAACATGGTCAATGGTGTACTCATCTCCGTTGACATTGACGAAGACACCGCCTTGATATTCCGGCATGGTGGATACTTCAAGGCGCAGTGTCTCGACATTTGTCCACATTTGCGGCTTATCGTCCCACAACGGTAGGTTGCGAGCGACCTCAAGGGCATCTTTCCAGATAAGATGCCGATGGAGTGGTCGGATAGCATATGTGTAGAAGGCCCTGCAAGTACGGACGACGCTATAAAGGTCGGCGGGAGTGCTCATTGACTCAAAAATGCCCATCCAAAGCTCCGCAGGGACATCTTCCGAAGCATTAAGCGGCATCGCTGAAATGAGAAAAATGGCACTGATTCAAGCAGGAGACGGGAGGCTTGAGCTGGAACGTGAGGGAGGGAAAGAGAGAGAGTCGTTCGCGCAAAGACAAAAGCACCGCCGCGAACTATAAGTATCGTAACTCGGATACAAACGCTGATGTAATAATTAAGCTTCCACTTTAGGTCTTCCGTCGTTCAAGCGCATGCTGGTACCATCAAGCGGCATTTGATACTATGCAGAACTAAGCACCTAAGTCCGGTATGTGCTTTCGGATGGCTGTAGTGTTCCACTAGGTAATAACAGGTAGCATCGACGTTCATGTTTCTAGGTGTTCAGTTTACTAAGTACTTTTGCTCCCTGGCAGTTTCTATACCAACATACTAGTGGACGTTCCGGGGGTAGCGTATCATTCATAGGACTCAATACCCACTGGAAGCGCTATCATGTCGAGTTCAACCAGAAGAAAGAGCGCGAGGACTGCCTCCCAAGCTACTCAACCTGCGTCCTCTGCAAGACGTCGCTCGCCTTCTATTGAATTCGTCGGAATGCGTAGAGTTGCTCTTGCCCCGTTCAACGACCCGCAGGCCGACTTCGTTATACAGACGCAACGCACCAATACCATGTTCAGAGTTTCGCTAGCCATTCTAGCACAGGCCTCGTCCTTCTTTCGTCAAGTGGAATCCCAACGAAAGCAAAACCCCGGACTTCGCGACTATGAACATCTGGATGTGGCAGAATCGGATGCAACGATCGAGACTATTCTTCGCTTCATCTATCCCGTGGCCGACCCGGTAGTTCAGGACTTAGACGATGTTTGCGACGCGTACCAAGCTTCAGTGCAGTACAAATTCGATTATGTAGCCAAACGGCTTCGCGAGTTCATGCTATCTCCACGTTTCATGGACAATGAACCTGTTCGTGTCTACGCAATCGCCCGTCGGTTTGGATTAGCTGAAGAGACAAACATTGCTGCTCGGCATGTCTTGCGGTTTCCCCCGAACTGGCCAGCATACGAGGAGTTCGACCACATCTCTGGCCGGGCGTATCATGAATTGTTGACCCTGCACAAGAACCGGGGTCGCAAACTCGTCGAGTTCCTCCACAGCTTTCACCTTAAAGAGAAGATAACGTGTATGAAATGTTGCCCCAGAGAAGCTACCGCGGCGCTTCCCAGGCGCCAGCCTGAGTGGTGGCAGATTTACGTCCAGCAGGCTACCCCCTTGCTATTGGATTCACCTGCGAACGAAGACATTTTTTCGTTGGAGTTTATTTTGAAGGTTGCTATCGAAGCGGGAATTACTTGTTCTATGTGCTGTACGAGTATCATGCAAGCTGCTCAACCGGGAGGCGCCATCGCTATATTGAAAGAAGGCCTTGCAAGCAAGCCGTTCGACCTTGTAGTGTCGTAAGTAGATGAGTACTACCTTTTCAACTACACTCATTACGTGGCCCTTCACAAGTAACACATAGGATGTGATAACTCGCGTTCGAGGGGAATTGCCGAAATCCTCTGTCAGTGCCACACATGACCAACCTGCGTGAGTAGCGACATAACAATGGTACGTTGCTCGTGCTCCCTCGCTGTCCTGTTAATGATATATAATTCCATAGGCGTATTGCTTGCTTGCTGTACTGGGATGTCGCCCAAGCTCTATCTGATAACACCGATGTTTTGTATTTGACGGACTGCTCGGTGTATACATTTGCATATAGAAGTGAGCTGGCGTTCCCGATACCCGTTAAGGTGCAATTTCATCGAAGAACCCGAGTGGTTCTTCCCAGACTGATATTATTGATTGTGAACAAGACCTTCGGAATTTGACTCCAGAATGATCTCGAACCAGGTAAGTGCAGAACCATCGCTTCGTTGTGTACCGAGTTGACTAGTGGGCCAGCTGTCAAATAGGGCATCTCTGTAATCCGCCTGTGTTCCGTGGTAACATTTGTAGACACGATCTTCAGGCTGGCTTCGAGACTCACCGACCTTGCACGTTGAGCTGGTAAGCAATAATATTCAATTTCACGAATGACAGGTGCTATCTGCCACTGTCTGCCCCTGAGAAGTAGGGCTTCATGCTTAGGCAGGTACTTCTCGCCTTGTGGGATTCTCAAGCTTATTTTCGGAAGACGCCGCTTCTGTTTGAATCGTGTAACTGAGAGCTGGTGATCATGGTTGTGACGTCGTGTCCTACGATCCCACCCTCATACTCGGCATTCCAGTCCTTAATTTGACCTCTACGTCTTTTGAGGCGACTTTCTCCTTAACCTCCAGGTCTCGTCCTCAGCGCTCTTCCGCATCACTACATGCGGCAGCATTCCCTCTCCCGCTCAGCTGTCATTCTCACGAGAAGCCATTACGGAGTACCAAGGTTTGCAGATACACAACGCGTGTTAGTCCTTAACTGACATTGAGAAGCAGACTCTACACACGAGGTGCTGCAGATTATGATATGTAAGGCGGGAGCAGTAGACTGCTGCTGGTAGTCAAGTTCACCCCCGTAGAGCCACCCTCTTTCCACCTCTTAAGCGGACCCCCTTTCAAAAGGCCCTGGCTACGTACCTGGCGTACGTTTTGTGCTCGCCCTTCAGACTCGTTCTTCCTCGGGTACTTACGGTGAGCATCTGAGCAACACCGTGCTTCAACGACTCTGACCAGGCTCTTCAATAGCGCCTCTCTGTACATTAGACGACGCCCCGGCGACGTCACTTCCACCTATCATTCTAATCATGGAGAACCCGCATACCCACCGCTGGTCAGAGCTCGTTCCTCCTAATTCTGCCCTTACATTTGCGGCCATTTGGGACCCATCCGAAGGGATGGTGACTTTCTCGGGTGGACATCTTCTGGAGTCTGACGCCTCCGACACCCTATGTGACGGGGAGTCGTCGCCCAAGGAAGCCTACGACAGCCAGTCGCAGGTTTTGACTATCGACAGATTAGCTTGGGCCTTGGGTGCAGGAGAGATGCCAGGTCGTCCAGTTGGTATGATAGCGCTTGACGAGTACTCCGAAGACTCGGCATCGGTGTACTCTGGTGAAACACAGCAGGCTACGAAATTAGGAAAACAACAGCCCCGCATTTGGGCTGTTGGTCGTCAGTTACTGTCCGCTGCCTTGACGTCGCTCGATGGTCGGATTTTCCGTCCGCACAGTCGGAAGGAAGAGGCGCCGTCTACAACGGACGTAATTCAGGAGGAGGACGAAGGCTTCTTCGAGGACGCATGTTTCACCGCTACTGCTCGCAGTTTTGGGAGCGTTCCGGTGCTGGTCAACCTCAATCTTGTGAGATTCGTTGATGTTCCTTGCAGTGATGTTGCGCTAACTCTCAACGCTGTGATTCAGAAATCCAAGTTTTCCGTCTCTGAAACTTCGACTACGAACTTCGTGCATGTCTTCCCTCCCTCTGTCGCAGATTTCTCTGCCTCTCAGACTCTGGCTCCGCCCCAACCCACGCCTCTTCGTGCATCATACACGGTTCATCCCCAGGAATCCTCACTCGACGTCTGGTCTACACTTCCACAGCAGCACTCTTACGTTTATCCTTCTCCTCAAGAGTATTCCTCGTCCTCTTCTTCGTCGGGGACTTACGGTCGCAGACGTCGAAAGCTTCGACGTAATGTCCCTCTGAGCATCATTCCGGCAGACCCACAAGAAGTCCTTTCCAGACAGTTATACAACTATGTTGCGCCTCCAACCTCGTATTCGGAGACACGAGGCTTACGGCGACAACTGTCATTAGCGAAGATTCGAGAGTTGGTCGGTCAGCTGACGCTGAGGTGCCACCGGAATGGTGATGACGACGAGCCCCCGGAAGTCAAAGAGGACAGAGGATGGTGCTGGATTCTGAGAACGGGCAGCGTGCTGGAGTTGTGAGAAAAACGGACGATTATGGACATGGGTTCATTTGCTCTTCGACCAACTTGCGTTGGCCATGAGGAAGACGCCACAGTGCGGTAGGATTGTCGTAACATTTTCATTTCGGGGTTGTTGGTTATTTCATATCCGTTTATTCTATCATTTAGTCCTCTCACGACGCGGATCAGTGCTTGTGTGCGTTTTTGCCCTCCCGGTTTCATACTTCGACCTTCTTTCCTTGACGAGAAGCCTGAGGCTTCTCTTTTCGTTCTTTGCGATACCTTCCGAATTTCTTCTGGGCTCCACGTTTCACTCACACGACCCTCACTGTACTCTCACTACAATATATGACCTCTATGCCAGTCACGACTCCATCCTTTGCATGTGTTGCTGTGATTCCCGAGGGAGATTCTGGAACTGGCCTACTGTCTTCAAGTTTCGACGGTCCATCGCACTGGGACCCAAGACATATTGTGATTGCGCGTGCCGAAAACAAATTGTAGAAAAACAGCGGACACAAGTATTCGTATCGTACGGCGGAGTATATACGCGTGGTCCGGTTATCGGTGGTGCGGTGAGGGTAATAGAAAATACAACAGGGTGATCTGAGAAAGAGCTGCAGGGGAGGTTCGCATAGACGCAACAGAAAGACGACAACAAAGGGAATATAGAACACAAGAATTTGGTGGTATGTAATGTACTTGATATCCAGGAGACGGGGATGAGCTTTGCTTAGTGCCGAATCTAGGTGGCCGTAGGGGTAGCAGCAAAGCATCGAAGTAACAAGCGAGAAAGCGACGAGCCTGCGTGCGCAAGGATACACATACGGGAGGTATAAAATGTTCACACTCAACCTGAATGTCCATGACGAGGGAATGGTGACACGAAGGGGTGGAGCTGGTAACGGCAGAGGTGTAATTGAGTGCTTTGAGGATAAGTAGGGAGGGCACGCTATTGAGCATGCCACCATCAGCCGAAGTAGATGCCGGCGTCCCATGAATCTGCAGAGTCAAATAGAGATGAGACTAGAATGCAGGATGAGACAGGCCGAAGAAACAAACCTTCTGTGATGCTTTTCCAGCCAAAATACAGAACGACAACTGTTGCTGTTTCGAGAATTGTCGCGACGAATGACCCATCGATTTTCGCATTTGCACCCTAAACGTGAGACGAAATATATCAGTGACCTCTCGCTCATATGCATATGGTTGCATGCAACATATCATTGCAAACGGATGCAATGAACGTACCCGACAAATGACTTTGCTCAGAAGGAAGTAGTCCAATTGACTGAGGACGAAAAGCACCGCACCCAGGATGAAAAACCAGACCGGTTTGACCTCGTTCAGGATGCCCAAGACGATATAGAGCATCAAGGCGAAATAAAGCACCGCCGCTGCAGCTGGCCAGATACTTGTCAATACAAAGAGAGGGATGCTGCTGAGGCTGTCTGATGGATTTGAAGGACCGAATACGTCCGTGAAGGTTAAAGCGACATCCAGCGAGATATAGGTAACGGCGACAAAAAAAGCGATCGAGAAGAAGGAAAATGGCTGAAAATATCCGAATGAGTGCTTGGACACGAGATACATCGGATGGAAACTCACGATCAGCGAACTAAGCGTTGCGTCTTCTACTACTTGCGTACTGACTATGGCGTTTCCCAGGAGCGCCCAGAATGTTGCTGCTACAAGGCCTGCATGTATTGCAGTCAATACAACGAGTGCTGTTGAGCCCTGACGTAGGAAGGAGCCAGTGGTGATGAGTTGAAAAGGAAGGGTAAGGAAGTAGAGGATAAGGAACAGGCGGAATTCGACTCGTGCTGTGGGAAAACGAACATTTCGACACTTGTCAATCGTATCAAGAAAATGTCGGACGTACCGACAGCAGCTCTTCTTCGACTTGTAAACCAGATGAGTGCAGCCACAACAAAAATACTGAGTCCACAGGCAATGATATTTGCGATATTTGCTAGCGAGTGATCGACGCCCACGAAGGGGATCGCACAGTTGGGGTTAATGCCCACAGGCGCAGTGGCAGGATCTGCTGAAGCACCGACGAGAGCGGAAGAATTGTGATCTCGGAGTTGGCGGTAGAATAGGTTGCACCACGGATACGAGGGAGTGTCATGGCAAAGGGGAGCAAAGTCCCCAAATCTCGTCATGGCAACAGCAGAGTGTTTGAAGGCAGGATGAAGGAGATGAACACGAAGGTTTCGCTGCTTGAGTGGGTTGTCGAGAGCGGCGCGGAAGGGACACGGAGAGGAGGGGCGGAGATGGTGGGCGGGATGGGACAAAAGCAAGACAGGCACGAGGCAATGTCTCTCAGCATCAAAATAGTCCAAAACAGTATATCGGTAGCACTTACCACAGCTTCTAGCCGGCACGACCTCGAAAAAGACTTGAAAGAATGGAAAGAGCGACGTGGGTATGCTTGTCGAGAGAGACGTCGAGCCCGGCGCAGCGCACAGCGACGGCCAGTACAGTACTTTGCCCGACAACGACGATCTTGACAATGGCTTCCCGCCCCCACGTGCCCTCCGCTTTGTATAAGTAGGCGCTCACAGCCACCGACGCGTCGAGGCGCGTCAAACACGATCTTCACCCGCCGATCATGTCTGCTCCTCCTCCCGCTTCAAACGCCCTTCCCTCTGTCTTGCTACCCGAACTCCTTGGCTTTGTTCCTCAGTTCTTACTTGATGATATTATAGATACCGCCAATGACTCTGTACGTCAGGCTGTCGATGCCATGGAGGTCTTCCTCCGACGCTGGGTAGACAACCGAGCACAGAAAGTCGGAGACGAATGGGACCCAAGTCAGGACCTTGAGCAGGGTCTTGTTGCGTTTCAAACGCTACTCTACTCACACGTCGACATTGCCTTTGACTTCTTTGAGGCATGGAGTCTGCGAAATATATTTGCGATCCCTCCAGGTCTACCTATCGTTGCTCCTCATCAGAGAGGTCTTGATTTGACAAGAGAGGAAAATGCGGAGCGAGACCTCATAACAGAGATTGAGGACCTCAGGCGAAAGATACATGCGGTATGCCAGAGCTCGATCGTTTTGATTGCAATTGCGATGCTAACCACTATTGCAGCAACGGAAACTGCGTCGACTCTTCGCGCACGCCGTTGCCAAATCCGCTCTTCAACGCGCTCATTCGGAACATCGTCTTCAACGTCTCTCATTCCTCCAATCTCCACAGCTCAAAACCCTCGTCTCCCTCCCAACAAAGTTTGAAGCCATGTATGAAGCCGTCGCCAACTTACCGCCCCACGAGGACGAGTCACCAATACAGAATCAAGTTGAGCCTGGGAAGAGACCATGGGAGACAAGTAAGACGGGTTATATCTCTTGGGCGGTGGATACGCTTGTACGGAAAGCAAATGAGAAGGATGGCCAAACGGGTTCTGCTGTTGGGGCTATTGTCGCGCAGACAAGCGAAATCGGGAGGGCCGAGGATATCAAGGCGGCCCTAGAGGTGTTGGACAACGACAAGATGGATGTGAGCTGACGAGTCTACCACAGAATTATCAGACTTGTTTCTTCGTGTACTGTATTGACAGAGTTGTGTGAAGTAGCATGATTCAATGAAGGGTCCCGAGGGTCATAAACACATGCGATCCTCTATCTAAAAAGTAAAAGTGACAGTGACGAGATTCGAACTCGCGCGGGAAACCCATCACGGTTGATGACTGCTTTCACAATCAGCCTAAACGTGACGCCGTAACCACTTGGCTACACTGCCATAAAAGATTGATCAAACAAAAATTTACATCGATGTTTAGGCTATTAAGAGGCTATTCACTATTCACCGTCACGATCGCAGCTTCACATTCATCTTAAGTGCAATATACCACCTTCCCCTCTCTAATGCAATGACCTCGACAGGTGGTCTCTCTCGCCGACGTGTAGCAGCATCAGGCTCCAACAACGACGATGCGGACGACGCCTGGGGTTTGAACGGTGGCGGTTCAAGCAGTCATTCTTCCAATCCCAGCATATCCTCTACACCGATACCCGGGTCAACCTCCCATGCTGGCACAGCGTTCCAAGGGGGAAGTAAGATTGCTTACGACCCCAGAGACTTGGAACGTGAAGATGAAGATATCCGACAGGGTGGTAAGGCACCCAAGTTGACGATCATGGAGGAGGTCTTACTGTTGGGTCTCAAGGACAAGCAGGTGTGTTTCTGTCGCGCTACGAATATTGTAGTATCCACATGCAACTCCCCATTGATGCCACAAATCACTGTGTTGCTCAATTATATAGTAGTTCTACCCCGAGCCGTAGATGAATGTGCCGAATCCGACTTTCGCTATATAAGCTCATACATGTTTCTCCTTGCAGGGCTACCTGTCATTCTGGAATGACAACATTTCATACGCGTTACGTGGATGTATCCTCATTGAACTTGCCCTACGGAGACGAATAGCCCTCGTTAAAGACCCAAATCGTCGTCAACTACCAATATCGGAACGTATACTTGAAGTCATCGATGAGCGAGGGACGGGAGAGACCCTCCTAGACGAAGCACTCAAGATGATGAAGGGGCAAGAAGCCGCAGGTGAGAAGATGGCGGTTAATAGTTGGATAGACCTTCTCAGCGGTACGTCAATGTTTCTCATCTCCACTCCACCCGGTTCTAACAATAGTTTCAGGCGAAACATGGAACGTCATGAAGATCGGGTTCCAACTAAAACAAGTTCGAGAACGTCTAGCAAAAGGTCTTGTCGACAAGGGTGTGCTGCGTACTGAGAAACGCAACTTCTTGTTGTTTGACATGGCAACACACCCAATCGCCGACATGCGTACGAAAGAAACCATCATCAGCCGACTTGTTACCCTCCTCACTTTCACCACCACCGCTGTACCTCCAGCCGCCCTCGGCAAGGACGGCACACAAGCACGCGCTACTCGGTCAGTTTGTCTTGCCATAGCTGCATATGCTGCGAGCGTTCTGGACAACGCTTTCGGGAGGTTAACATACGAAGAGCGAGAAGCGGCGTTCCAAAGATGCGACGATATCCTTGCAGAATTCGCTTGTTGGCCGTTTGGCTCGAATTCCGCTGGTAATGGTAGCTCGTCGAGGAAAAGGGATGCAGCGAGGATCGGGATGGGTAGTTCGAGCACAGGCAGTCGAGAAGCGGTGCTTGGTCTTATTCAGGAGGTCAAGAAGGAGATGAACGGAGATGAGGATCTAGGATTTGAGTTGATTGCTGGTGTTTTGGAGGTACTTTCTAAGCTGGATTCGCTGCTATAACTCTGTCACTTTTTATTTCATGGTACTTGACATGTTTGCGTTATTGTGTGTAGTCCTTCCTCGCTTCTCTTTGCATAGAACTGGCATGTTTGCGCAACCGAGCCTTCGTTCCTTGACAGTCAGAGCATTTGACAAAAAGAGCCAGGAAAAGGTTACCAGGTATCATGGTTATTCGGATACGGGGAATCGAACCCCGGGCTATCGCGTGAGAGGCGATAATGTTAGCCACTACACCATATCCGATGTGTGGTGAATTTAATAATGCATCTCGATTTGACAACGAGCATTCGTCCAGCTTTACGAAAGCAGCGATCTGGGAAGACCGTCCTTGCAAGCAGCCCATACTCGCAGCCCATACTCGCACTCGTTGGTACGTTACTCTCTGAGTTCTACCACCATGACACCCGTAGGACAATCCACCCTCTACATACCCGTTGCCTCTCCCCCAACTCCCGCTCCTTCCCCCGGCCTTTCATTCGCGGATCTGCCCTCTACCAATGATCCAACTGCTTCTCTCTCTCGACGGCAATTCACACTCATGTCTCCAGAACACCGTCGACGATTTCTTGGATCTATTTTAGCTGACTGCACACCATCAGAACTACTGTTTGTCTCAAGCACCGTGACACCCTTGCTCAAGCGAGATTTCCTACGAGAGCTGCCCCCAGAACTCTCTTGGTACATCCTCAGTTTTATTGATGAACCTCAGACCCTTGCTCGTGCCAGCTGCGTCAGCCGATACTGGAACAGACTACTCTCAGATGACTGGCTTTGGAAGAGACTCTGTACTCTGCATGGTTTCGATGTCGAGCAGGACTGGTCACCTTCACAATCTCCTTGGTCCCCGGAGGGAGAGTCACCCACTCACCCATCCTATCGCGCGCATTTCAAGAAGGAATACGTGACAGGTTAGTCTTCTTACCCATCGGTCCCCTTCATCAGACCTATAGCCGCATATAGTTTCTAACTGGTGTCACGGCGGATCTCTCCTACGAACCCATCGTGTTCCCCTCCTACCTGGCTCCCAATCTACCCACCACGATCAACCCGTCCCGGACGAAACCTCCTCACCCCCTCCTCGCAATAATTCATCATCCCCCGCAATCCCCACTTCTATTGCTATCGATTCTGATTGGGTCGTGGTGGGTCTGGCTAATAGCAAGATCCACGTCTTCAGTGCGCGAACTGGTGTCCTCAGTCGGACCCTCGTCGGTCATACTTCTGGCGTCTGGGCGGTCGCATTGATACGAGGAGGGGGAAAGCCAGATGAAGGAGGGCATATCCCTACGGATGATTCTCTGTCCCCAGAACCTGAGGGATTCACGCCTACCATTCGACATGCCATTGGCTTGGATTCGCCGAAACCTTTCCATCGTCGAGCTCTCTCGGGTGTATTCTCCTCTAACGTCCCTCGACCGAAGCCCAGTGAGCCATCCGGGGCATCAGACGGCTGGGGACAGCCAAACGCTCTTGTAGTGAGTGGTGGATGCGATAAGGACGTACGTGTATGGGATGCCAAGTCAGGGTGCGTCCACCGTGTTTAACGTCTATTACCGTTTTCTGACAGTTATTGATTGCAGGTTTTGCATTTACACAATGCCGGGCCACCAATCCACCATCCGATGTCTCAAGGTCCTCCACAATCGCCCAATCGCAGTTACAGGTTCTCGAGACAGGACAGTCCGAGTCTGGGACGTCCGACGGGGGAAGATGCTGCGAGTACTGGAAGGGCACGAGCAGAGTGTTCGCTGCATCGATGTCTGTGGAAATATTGTGGTAAGCGGAAGCTACGACACAACATGTCGTGTGTGGAATATCGACACTGGTGCTTGCATACACGTCCTCCGTGGTCATTATCATCAGATCTATACTGTCGCTTTTGATGGTGTACGGATCGCTTCTGGTGGTTTGGATACGACGGTCCGTGTGTGGGACGTCGAAACTGGGTACGGTTATTTTATCGTTATTAGTATGTGTTCAGAGGCTAACGTTTACCCTATAGCACATGTTTAGCTCTTCTTCAGGGTCACACCGCCCTCGTCTGCCAGCTCCAACTGACCCCTACTATGCTTGCAACAGGCGGGTCCGACGGCCGAGTCATCACTTTCTCTCTCGTCGGCAGTTCATTCAGTGTCATCCAACGTCTAGCTGCTCACGACTCCTCTGTCACCGCTTTGCAACTGGACGATAGGTTCATGGTCACTGGTGGTAACGACGGCCGCGTACGGTTATTCCAGTTCCAGAATGATGGTGACGGCGAGCCGGGCAAGTGTGAGTATGTTAGGGAGTTGAGTGATCCTAGTGAGAGTGTGTGGAAGGTCGCTTTTACGAGGACGACTTGTGCGATTGCGGCTAAGAAGGCGGGGAAGACGGTGGTGGAGATTTGGAGGTATAGGCCTAATGAGTGATCGTACATTACTATGCTTTCAGGGTGCCGTTTAGCGAGTCACGGTGATCAGACATTTGATAGCCCTTAGGAAATGCACATCAGATTCTTCAACTCATCTTGTCTGGTGAACTTTTGTCTGCAGTTCTCGTGTCTCGATTAGGTGCCTCAAATAGTGAATATTTATAATTTCAAGGTAGATTATGTCGGATATGGTGTAGTGGCTAACATTATCGCCTCTCACGCGATAGCCCGGGGTTCAATTCCCCGTATCCGAATATATGCGTAGCGTCTCCTTTTTGTTTTGCGGCAATTCAAGATCTGGCTACTATATACCATATGACGGCTGTTACGAAACAACAAACCCAAAGCTAGGAATGTAGTGCAAGCCATAATATTCTCAGGCTTATTCCTAGCTCCCTTCTCTACGTTAGACATTTCCAATGACGTACTCGATTGAAACATTATCAGTATTCAGGCAAGAGCCAGGCATCACTAGCATCCGTTAATAGTGACAGATATTCACATGATGTCCTCTGTCGAAAGAGTCGGGATGTCGCCGTGACATTGCTACAAGTACTGATACAAGCGAAGCCCTCTAGCGTACAACGTACAAATACGATACAAAGAGCCATGAATCCAGCATGGCAAGAAACCCTAGACGCGACCTATACTTCCATCGGCGACCACAGTCGTCGTGCCTATATTTTCCAATTCGATAGGAACCTCCGGATCGGGGCTCAAGCCTTCTCCAGATGCCTGGCATCCGTGACTGATACAATTACTTGCACTGCGGGAGTGTTCCGATACCGTGTGGTGGTCAACGCTGACATTATGACCCAATGCTGTAGAAGGCATAGTTATCCGGGAAGTGAAAATCAATGTGCTGTTCGACGGGTCTGATGTCGATATGGACCCGGGTGTCGGGTTGAATTTGGTAAGAGAGGCCGATTCGTGGAGGTTGAGCATGATACGGGACATCATGGTCACTGAGACACTGGTGTGCAGGAAAAATATTATTGCTGTACCACGGAAGGAGGAAAGGTTAGGAACTAACCTGCTAGCGAATGTGGATAATAGACCCTTGAGCTCGGGCTATTCGAGGGATAATATCAGTTTAGATCAGCAGGAGGCTTAATACAACTTTCCATACCGAGAGGAACTAGCATCGAAGTTAGAACAGGAAGACAACGTACAGTAAGTGATCTATACGCACGTAGAACGTCAAAACATTCGCAGCATTCGCGCAAGCCATGACACTTTGAAAAGGATCAATCGGACTGACAAGACAATCAGAACTTTCATGCTGCTCACGCAAAGTAGATAGCACCTATGTGAATGTCTGGAAGCACAAGGGCTACGTGACGATAAAGGAAACACACCATCTCGCCAGATGAGTTCGACCAAGCTATTGAGCATTGCTACGTTACTTCGGGTTCTCTCTTGATACGTCTTGTAGATGGTGAGGGCGAAGATCATACAGTCGTAAGCAAACAAGGCCTCCCAGGCCACCGCAAGGTCTATCGAGACATCATGTTCTCATTAGAGAGGGACAACAATATTATCAAGCAAAATAGAACTTACGAATACCACTACAAGAATCCCTCGTGAAAGGATGTGCATACATGAAGGGAAGACGACGTACGTGGGCTTGCTTATCGCCTGCTGGCATCCATGTCTGATACTATACTCCGAATTCTGGCCGATGAGGGACCACTGAGACATGCATAGTTGTTTGAGAGAGACGGCAGACAAACTTTGCATAGTGGACTCACGCAAGCCAAACTGAAAAGAACCAAAAAGACGGAGACGATAAAAGTCATGATTCGCTTACTCCGCTCATACAGAGCGTATGTTCGGAGAAAGGAGATGACTGAACATCGGTTGTCAATTAATCAGTAACATAAATGAAGCCAAACCACTGGTACTTACTACAAACGATAACCTGAGCGATAACCAGCATCATTTGGCGAAAGAAATAGTAATTTTTACATGCTTCAACGGTCATGAAGTCCGCAAAATTTGCCGAAACGACGGCAACGTCCTGCAAGTGATAATCGGACGATAAACGATGAGGGTCACACACGTAGGAAGCTCGGGAACATACGCTAAGAATTGAAAAGTATCGATTCAGCAAGAACAGCCACGACGCGTGTGTCCTAGGGTTTGACCAGATGTAGGAGACCTCATTGGCGAATGTGATGATATAGTCGTAGTACAAGATGCCTGCAATGGGTCAGACGAGGTCATAGTCACAATATCCCAAGAGCCTGATTTTTACGCACATATGCCTACGACATGGAGGACATTATGCATGAACCTGCAAATGGACAAGTGTGAGCTCTAGTTAGCTCACCATGCCAAAAAAAATGCATAAGCCGGATCGTACTCACAATTCGAAACTGTCATAAACGTCAAACTCCGCCATACTATAAACCTACGTACAGGTGTGCGTATCTTGAGCATAGAACACACAATGGTTCAACACAAACCCCAGCGACATTAAGAAGGGAGGAGAAAGGCACACGTGAGGGATACAAATACATTGACTGAAGGCTATCTGACACGACGGAGAAGTGGGGAAAGGTAGGACTTGATGACAGGAACCGAGCGCTTTGAGCAGCCTATCGCGGAGTACATTGGAGCTTCGAACCGACCTTCAGTATACGGGTTTACCCATATTGAAAGACACTGGACACGCTATGTGTACCTGCTGATATCTTTCCTCGGCAGGTCCAGTAAGCCTTTGTCTCCCATAGGAGGACTGATTACTGATTTATCGAGAGGAGGACAAATCGACAGTATATAGAAGCTTGCTCAGCGTCCAGAAGAACTTCGATGTGATTCTGGGATCAATCAAGAACCTAAGGTGAAACACTCGACCTTGTATACCATTGGCACCCACTTTAATTCAGGTTGCCTCGACGTAGAAAGTAGAAGCTTGCAAAGACAATCCGGTAATAATGTGTTTGCGACATCCATTAGTGTAGCGGAGTGCATCTTCCTGGCTGAACGCCCAAGGTGTGCTCTGCAAAATCCAAATAGGGATCGGACAGAACGTGTGATGGTTCAGGATGACTTGTGCAATGTGAAACGTCGCGCCCTTCACAATGTCAAGATAATGGACAATGTGAGTGATCGCTGGGGTCGATCATGTTGCAGAATATATAAATAACACGCGAATACGGTTTGAGCTGTGTCGAGGAAGGAGATAGCGTATCCGTATTCAGTGACTATTCATCGGTAAGACACCATAGGTGGAGGGCAACTCGCTATAAGGGACATTCCGTGGCGCTTCCGTGTTACATGCATTCGAGCCTATGGTCAAAAAATAATGGTGAACGGTCAAAACGAGAAATCGAGAAAATATCACTCACAACAGCCGATAGTCGGAGGCAGTTGACTTCAGAAACTACGGGGATACGATGGAGGGCCGAACGCTGGGCGATGCATGTTGACAGGTCGATCTTGAGGCCTGAGGATTAGCGTTCGCAGATCATTGTGTCGTCCAGCAACGGTAAAAATTGCCACTGGGAGACCTGGACCGTTTGAAAAAGGATAGGCAGACGACCAGCCAGCGTTTATGGATGAAACAACAGAAATGGCAGAACGACAGCACGTCTAGAAACCAGAGAGATTAGAGTCGATTCGTCCGCTGCACTGTTTGATAAGAAAAGCACTGGTCCACTTAAATCAGGGTATGGAAGTGCACTTAAGCGTACATGCCCGAGTTAATCGACAGCAAAGAAAACGGGTCGTATCGAGGGTGGACCGAATGCAACATGGGCGAAGATGTTTATAGAACTCTAGGCCGTCATAGAAGTGTTGTTAGGTGAAGCCTTGGAAATCCGTGGCAGCGGAACTATGTTCGGCTGAAGATCGTCCTAAGGAGTCTCCCACAGGCAGTGTAGACAGGGACGCAACCTTCGTACCTCGGGATATCTAGTCTCAAGAGGAATGCCCGACCATGGATAGATGGACATTCTAGCATCTGCGGCGCCTGACTACTAGGTCAAACGGATGGTGCGAGTTATCACTGGGAATTTGAACATGTCGTAGAAAACTCACACAACATGCAAAACTGTTTAGCTTGACTATTAGAGTCGTATAGGGAGACTCTCTTTATCATACCTATTGAAAAGAACCGTTAGCCACAATACCGAACGATACGGCACTTATCTGTTCTACTAATCCACGGAAACCAACCATCAAATTCAACAGCACGACCGCCGGTTACTGTATCGGTCACAAGCAAGGTCACAAGTCAGGAACACCATCATCGTCAAAAAGCCAAGGAAAGCCGGAAGACGGATGAGTATCAGGCTACTTGGCGTCCTCTCATCCAGCGGCTTCTCATTTCATCAAGAGATTCTGGACGATGCGTAGATGCGCAAAAGGGATGTACAGCCGGACATACTTACTAGCTCGGTAGAATTCAACGTGGCGTATAACCGTATTGTGTTTTTTTTTCTTTTGTCTGATTGTGATTATACTTACAAGGACGTCACTATGTACACAGATGAAAGCCTCCAGTAGGCTTGTTCAGTGTGTAAAGTCATGGGTCATGCTTATACAATTTACTATTTCAAAACTGAATTGCAATTCAATTCGGATATGGTGTAGTGGCTAACATTATCGCCTCTCACGATCCTTAGGTGTGTGGGTTCGCGATAGCCCGGGTAGTAATTTTTATTCTTTTAGATGAAGTTTCTGTGCAGTTCATAAAAGACGTAAGAATGCAAGGCAATATTAAGTGCCCTAGAGTAACAACTAGCTAGTCTACCCATTGGAAGGCACCGTTGTGCAGCAAAGATTGCCTAACTGTCAGCAACAGAGACTTCGCCTAGAGATTGTCCTCAAATGAGGGCGAATACAAGCAAGACCGTCAAACACGTGAACGGAAAAGGAGAGACGTATTCTTCAGCTGAGTACGGCATGCGATGCTCGTAAGGTACATCATTCTATTGGCCATAACATCAAGCAGTATGTCCCGGCATTGCAAGTGTAAAAGGGGATCCAATTACAGATGGTGTATCTGCGTCGGTAAACAAGCTTGAACTCGGAGTCCATCTGTGTTGGCCACAGCTGAGAGCGGTATCTCAGTGACTCAGATCCGACGGTAGAACAAGTCAAGTGAGAGATAGGATCCTTGGCGAGATGTTTAGCAGGATTAGCAGAGCGATCCATGACGGTTTCAGAATCCTTCCAGATTGAATAACTTATGCTTAGCATTAACGGCTCCTAGGAAACCCGCCATTCGAACACTGCTCCCGGTGCTCCGTGAACGAATTCGTCCGCTGACCCGAGCCAGCGTACTAACTCGTGGCCAGGAGTTACCACTGAAGGTAATGTCAGTGAGACAGTGAAAACGATCCATATGAGGGATTATGCTAGTGTCGGGCTGAGGAATTGAGTTCTGAAACTGCTGCAATGTAGAACAACCCGATCGATCGTGGGGGGCATCAGGAATAGAGATCGCAGGCACACAGAAGATGTCCACGAAGCCAACCATCGTCTTTGCCAGTCTCTTCGACGTCGTTGGCGAAGGCGGCGGCGACTTGAGCCAGCGGTGCAAACAGCTGTACGGCATACCGCGAGCGTCAGCAACCCCACAAGCGTGGATCAAATGAACTACGCTATCAGTACGACAAGCGAGCTAAGCAACCAAAAGGTGTGAAGACCACAGAACTTCTTTGAGTCGATTGAGCGTTAGCTGTGGGGTGCAGCGCGAGCACGCGAGTTGCCAGTGACCCTGATGGAGACAAGACAGGCCTTGCAAGGAGGAGGGGAAGCCATCGGGAATAGAAACGTGGTAATGACGGCGGGCCTGATCGAGTTCGCCGAGCAGAAGGCGGCAAGAAATGGGCGTCTTGCGGCTAGTAAGCAGATAGCATGGGGAATGGCCAGGGTCGCGTAGCCAGGTGCGCGGTCCCAAATTCCAAAGACTGCAAACGCGTCTCTTACGTCCGTTATAACCCGCTCGCCAGCTCAATGAACCAGTCCAGCCCACCTCCCCTCCGTCTCCTCCCTGACTGCAGTGGTTGAGGGACGTTCTACTCTGTTGGTGGAGAATAGGTGGAGGGAGTGTACTGTGGACATTCTGCCCAGCTATTACTATCACGGACCGGTCGCATCATTTGCTAACTCAATTCAGTTCGTTCTAGCCTTTCTCCGCCGAAGGAAGATCTCTTGCGAATTCTAGCTGGGTAAGTACATAACATTGTGTAACCACCACCGTTTTGTCGCCTATGTCTGAGGCTGAACGTTGACTTGTTACCGCAATGCTCTCCTCCCTCAGAATGCCCGTCCCCCGTCTCTCCAACGAGGGGGACGATCCGCTGTCCATCTTCATGAAGCCGCCGCCCTATGAGACGGACGAAGAACGTACCGACCGTCTTCGGCGAGAAGCAGAGGAGAAGCGCGTCAGTGACCAGATCGACGAGTACATCAAGGCTGAACGGGCCGCTATGAAGAAAAAGAGATCGGACATCAAGCTATTGCTACTTGGTCAAAGTGAAAGCGGTTTGTGTTTCGAGTCTTTCTCATTGTACGTTTCTAACTTGGTGTTTTCTACAGGAAAATCTACTACGCTCAAGAGTGCGCCTCTTCACCATGTCACATCGCGGGTTTTACTTACTGTTATGTCTGGCTTCGTTAAGACTTTCAGCTTACTTTTGCTCCAAAAGCATGGCGAGAAGAACGGACGTCGTGGCGGGCAGTCATTCAATTCAATCTCGTTCGTTCTGTCAACACTATTCTCGATGTTCTCTCGAAGGAGATGTTATCGGCACTCGGCGGAGGTTCCACCGCCCACCTTAACATTGCACAGTCAAGCTCCCGGCCACCCTCAGGATCTTGGTCTATGGACGCGCTGGACGCTAACCTTGATGGTAACTTCAGCAGTGACGATGAGCAAGAGGTCTATCAGCCTATCCCGGCTTCTACTTTTCCTCCTCTAAAGTTCACTAGTTCTCATTCCCTGCTCAAGCTCAGGTTAGCACCTCTGCGTAGTGTGGAATGTGATCTGAAGACTTTTCTTGGCGCCGGCTCTACGGAGGTTACTGCATCCACGAGTGATATTTCACAAATGGTTGCTACACCATTCGACATAGATTACAGAGGGTCAGCACCTCCTTCAGCCAGCCTGACCCGACGAAGGACAAATGAGTTCGCTGTGCGGTCCCACGCTGCTTGGAAACGGTCCCTTGGCATGCACACGGGCAGTTCAAAGACCCGACCTTCGTCCCCTAAGGCGGGCTTGGATTTGGATGGTGCTACGGAAGTCATTGCGGGATGCAAGGACGATATTAAGATGCTATGGCACGATCCTCTTATTCAAGAACTCCTGAAGAGGAGAGGAGTGAAGTTGGGTGATTCGGCAGCGTAGTAGGTATTTTCATTCTTTCCACCTGTGAACGTATCTCATACTCGTTATATGAAGCTACTTCCACCATGTCGATCGGATCGCCAATCGCAAGTATGAACCTTCGGACGACGATGTTCTTCGTGCGCGGCTCCGAACACTCGGTGTACAAGAGCACAAGTTAGTATTTGAGCATTCCGGTAAGTCCACCTTGTAATGAAGAAGGATTCTTTCATTTCGGTACTATTTTCTTTTTCATTTGGTTTGGTGTTCTCATTTTCTACACGTCTCCTTTCAGCTGATGAGGGACGTTCACGACTTCCCACCACTGACCTTGACTTGCTTCCCTCAGCGGATGCCGGCAGTACATGGTGCATCTACGATGTCGGAGGGTCGCGCACTTCAGTGAGTTTTGTCCACTTGGGCTTCGTTTGCGTGTCGCCTTACACCTTGCAGCGTGCGGCCTGGCTTCCGTTCTTCGACGATGCCCATGCAATCCTGTTCCTTGCGCCTATCAACTGCTTCGACGAGCAGTTGGCTGAAGATCCTCGTGTGAATCGGTTACAAGACTCGATGATACTGTGGAAGTCTATTGTGTCGTCGAAATTGCTCACCGGGTGTTCGATTGTCTGTGCGTCACTCGCTAACCCCCTTTGATCTGGAGTTTAATTTCGGTTCCTTATTCTCGCAGTGTTCTTGAACAAGTATGACCTGCTTGTGAAGAAACTTCAGAGCGGAGTGCAAGCTAGAGATTTCGTCACAAACTATGGTGATCGAGAGAACGACGCCGCAGTGTTTGCCAAGTGTACGTTGTAGCCTCCAACTTCGTGGACCTTCGATCATTGACGTTTTGGTGACAGACATGCGTGGCAAGTTCAAGACCCTTCTAAAAGACCTCTCGCCCAAGCCGAGGCCTTTCTATGGTTTCCTGACTAGTGTCATCGTAAGTCTGGTAGATCACATTCGTCGAGCTTCCGTTTACCATTGTCCTTTAGGATCAACAGAACACCGGACTTACGCTTTCCTACTGTAAGTCATGCATCGGCTGGCGCTTAAGGACACCGCTGACCACGGCTAATAGTGCGGGATGGTATCTTGCGCGAGCACCTCAAAAAAGCCGAGATCGTCTAGTTGCTCTCCTTCCCCGAGGGACCACAACAATCTCTACTATATATCACCTCATCTATTGTAAATAACTCACTCGTTTGTGCTTGGATATATCTCACTTGGCTAGAACAACGCTTCGCTACATTGCACTGCACCTACAGTAGTGTTCAACATTCTTTTCTGTCGTTGTTTCATACCACGGCTTTGCAGGTTCGAATATTCGTATTCGAATCCTCTTATACCTAGCTAGCACTTATAGCTGTCTAATTCCGGTGTGAACAGCGGAGGGTTCCTGCTAGAATACATTGGGTTTCTTGGTTTATGTGACTACTTGGCATGGACGTGGAGGAGGCTCGGATGGGAGAGGATTATAGACTGTAATATGCACATATAGGAAAGGGAGAAAGAAACTACCTAATCGTCCGCCAAAGGGAGAAAAAAGAAAAAAAAAAGTCTAAGTAGTAATGTGTATCAAGCAAAGCACGAAGTCGAACTGGGAATACGAAACCGATGCAAAGCAAAAACAACGAACAAAAAAAAAAGAGAAAAGGTGTGGGTGTGAAACGAAACTCCGTCAGAGAGGCTTCCAACCTTCTCCAGCCGGCCACTTCAGATCATCTCTCTCATACAACCATTCCCTCCCTCGCGGAGACCCCTCTCTCACCCGCTTCCCGCCCAGATCCTTCTGCGTTCCATTCCGTCTCGACTTGCCCGTAGAACGTCCCTCCTTCTCCTCATCCGCACTGGTTCCACTTTCCTCCCTACGACCATGGCCATCACGATCCTCCCTCTCCACTCTCTCAAACTCCTCAAAGTCCTCATCACCATCATCATCAAACACCCGTCTATCCGCCCACCCATTCGCAGGTGCAGGTTCGGGCTCATCCATCAAAGGTTCCTCTCCATCCCGTCTCAACCACCTCTGCTGCGAATGATTCACGAACCCACGTTTGCTCAAGCCAGCTTCAGCCTTGTACCTAGCAGCGTCGAGTTTCGGCTGAGCTTTCTGCTGAAGCTGGTTTAATGTTCTCTGGATGGAGGACAAGGACGCCAGAGGAGAGTCCGACATACTTGTCGGATCGCGTGGTGGTGGACGTTCCCGACTTTTCGCGGGAGATGATAGGGAAAGATGTCTTGAGAGGTTATGATTCGTCATAGCAGCAGGACGTGCGGGAGATTGTGGCGGAATAGGGAATCCTCCCGAGGTTGAAGGTTGACCAGCACCATCTGCACCAGCACCAGCACCAGTGAACTGTATACTCTCTGGTCGTTTCTTGCTTCGGATGGGAGGTGGGACAGGAGGCGGTGTAGGTTGATGCATAGATTTAGATCGAAAAAGACGAGTAGAATTCGTGGAGCTGGGTGAAGGTGGTAGGGAAGGCTGTTCTTGACTGTCCAATGACACGGCAAGCTTGCGATCGGGGTGCATGGGAGGAGGTTGATTAGGTATAGATCCTGCCGCCGCAGACGATTCTGTTTCGAGTTCCACTGGTACCTTTGGTGGAGAGCGTGCGGGAGAATGAAATGGTGATTGAGAGACTGGGCCTCTGCCCGTGTTGAAGAACGGACTAACAGGTTTATGTCTTGGCAGGTATAGCTTTGCTGTAGCGACTTGCTCCATTGAGTTGGTGGAAAGTGGCGGGCTAGGCTTTCGACGGGGAGGGAGAGCAGGGCGATCAGAGTGGCGTGAACTGGACCCAGAGGCAGAAGAGCTAGAATCTACGATATTCGCAGGGTCTTTGGTAGGACTGATGCTCCTTGTGCGCTTGGTGTTTGAACTTGTCTTGAGGACCTCCAAAACACGCTCTTTCTGCAATTTCTCTTCGGCCTTCTTGAGACTCTGAGCAATACGAGTGGCTTGGAGCGACTGTTGGATGAGTACATTCGATATGGGAATCGTAGACGACTGATGAAGAGCAGCATGTCTTGGTGGAGGCGGCGGCGGCGCTTGTCCCATGGAAGGTTTACGCGGTGGAAGAGGTGGTTGAGTCGTCGAAGTGCGCATTCGGGGGGTGGTCAATGCGTTTTGCAATGGTACAGGTGGGGGATCCTGCGAGCGCGAACGGTTAATGAATGGATTGGTGGGTTTCGGGGGGATGGAAGGCGGTGAAATGGTTGCATTGGGTCCAGTGGTAGGACGTGTCGGAGGTGGTTGACTCGCCCGCTTTGCGGGAACAGAGTGGGAGGGGCCTGAAAGAGGTACATCTACGCGCCGTGGCGTTTCGTCCTGCTGAAGGGAGGGTGGTAAATTGCGATTATTGGTAGTTGGTGAAGTTGGAGGGTGAGCTGTAGTATAAGACATTCAGTAACGGTCACACCAATGGGATCCAAGTCTTTATGAATCGAGTAGCACAAAGTGAACATCACACGAGGACAGATTATACCATGCCTATGGCGAGAATCTCTGATGCGCGATGCAAACAGCAAGGTGGCATGCGAGAAGTCTATCAAGACAACAAGAAGAGGACTTACCCTGTTCAAAGACCAAACTTCCGTCAACTTCTTTCCCATTGCGTGCATGCATGACGAGGCGCATGACAGCAAAGAATTGTCCGCCTGTGAGACCTTCATGGCTAGGCGCGATAGTCTTCAAGATAGAGTCAATTTCATGAACAGGCATGTCGTTGTATCGACCTCTGAGCCAGGCCCTAGCTTCTCGTACAGTGATCTTGAATCGTTCATAATGTGCGTCGTCAAAAGTAACATTGTCGTTCGGGTCATCCTCGCTATCGACAAGATCCCGAAGTGAGGTCGTGTAGAGATCATATTCGGCGTCGTTCAGAGCAGAAGCATGCAGCGTTAGCAAGCGCATTGCTACGCTTAAAGTACAAGTGAGAATGAACGTGAGCTGCTCTGGATATGAAGAGGAGAAAATGAAGTCAAGCCTGCGCTGCTTCAAGCCTTTCATCTTCTAAGCACCGCTCCAAGGCGTCTTTCTCGAGGGCGCAAAAAGTTATTCGGATACGGGGAATTGAACCCCGGGCTATCGCGTGAGAGGCGATAATGTTAGCCACTACACCATATCCGATGTTAGTTATCATAGATAACTAAAAAAAACACTCGATAATGGAATTGCTCGGGCATTTTATAAAGTACCTCACAACTAGTTTCGTCAGTATGGATGGAACTAGAGAGGATTGAATACATTGTTGTTGCATTGTTGCATGCGGTGAGATGGCTAAGACTACCCGATCGAGGCAGGTGAGGCGGTGATCGATCGCGCGCTGGTGGAGAGGGAGATGGCGTCTAATTAGTTGGAGTGGGACTGCGAGTGTTGAGGTTCAGTGCTCAGATGGAATGCTCAGTATGTCAACAGAAGCAGCGCCAGTTCTACTGCCACGACTGCCTCAAGCAACAGTATGTCTAGTCCTCTAACATTCCACAGCTATCCGCGTACTAACCCTCTCCCAGTGTCCTCTCCTTCCGCCTCCAGTCCACCCACCTTGCTCACGACAGAGATGCCTCCGTCGCCTCTGCACAGAACTCCCTCTCTTCTGTAGTCCAGCCCGCTCGTCTCAGACGTGCTGACGTCCGCGAGTGCGAAGATCGTGTGCGAGAGGTCTGGGATGGCCTCGAGGGCGTTAGAAAGCACAATGACAGCCGTATGTATCCTCACCCTCTATATCCATCCCTCTCTTCTCATTCTATGCTCTAGTAATATCTCGCATCCGTGACCTACGCGACACTCTCTCAACTCGCAGGCGTACCCTTGCCATTGCCTCCACTACTCTCATCCCCTCTGCCTCCTCGTCTTCGTCCGCTTCCTCTCATTCACGTTCTCATTCTTCCTCCGCCTCACCTCCTCTCCTCTCCACTTCTCCTTCTACACCATCTCGTCCATCCGCCCTCTCAATTAGGCGCATGAGTGGCACAACTGCCCGTATCCCAGGTACCACTCTCCCCATTCCAATCGTAAAGTCTTTAGATCCCACTCCCTCTATACCAGCTTCTACTTCCACTCCTCCATCCGTATTGACCTCTGCATCTACCTCTCCTCGAACCCGTCCACTCTCTGTTCTCGCACGTCCTAATTCCCAACCGCTCGTATCCCAAGTACACTCCTCACCACAGCCTCCTTCAACCATTGCAGGAGACCCATATTTGGCACATCAGATCGCAGAGGCCGAGTCTAATCTCGCTCATCTCTCTGACACCATTGCCAGGGCGCGGAGTGGCTTGGTTCAAGAATTGGTAGAGGTCTTTAGCGTCGTCGAGGTACGTCTGACCTTTGCCCTATACATTGCATGTGCTGATGCCATTAACTATTCACAGGTTGGCGGGCGTCCGCCCGTAGGAGGCAAGGCGGGATCGAAAGGTGAATGGACGATCGGTGGATTAGTCTTACCAGTCCCAGGAGATATTCGACGTATGTCTTCTTTCGCCTCATTCTCTCTTTTCTCATCTCCTCTTGTCCGTGTATATCCTCTCGTACTATCACTCGCATCCTTCTCGTCTCTGCGATCTCCTTCTCACTTTACCACAACTAATACAACCTACCTTCCACCCCACAGGATACCCACCAGACCACATCAACGCCGTCCTAACCCACACCATCCATTTCCTTTCCCTTCTCGCCTTCTATCTCGGTATCAAACTCCCCTTCGAAGTAGTTTGGAGTCGATCCGGAGTCTCGCCCGGCTCCCATTCATCCAATTCTTCCAGTTCAGGCAAGTTCACCTTTCTCCAGTCGTGTTTATCCTTTCGAATGGCCACAATGTCATTATGTTTGGAGATATTGATTAATGACATCTATTTAGGCGATTCGAATGCACGAGGGGGCGTGTATGGTTTATTAGGTGTTGGGACACCTTGGATAGGAGCTATCCGAGGTGGAGAAGGAGGCGGTTGGGCTCGGTAAGCCTCTTCTTCTCTCTCTTCCATTGTGCTATTCCCCACTTGAATTTCATCACACCATACATGTCACTGACTCACGAAACCACAATATAGATGGTCAACAAAGCACCCTCTACACGTCTCCGCATCCTCACGTCCAGCCTCAACCACCCCCGCAACCTCCCCCACATCCCCCACATCCCCATCCCAAGCACACTCCTCAACATCCAAACCCACTCCTCCCACTTCCCTGACATCGTCTCCCATCGACTTATCCGATTCGACCTACTTAGCGTCAGCTATGAGCACACCTTCGTCGACGAGTGCTTCGGGGACGAGTTTTACTACGGCGTTGTCGATGTTGCTTTATGATGTTTGTTATTTGGCGTTCTGTGAGGGTGTGGATATACCGCTTGCACAGGCTGGTGAGGTGCTGGGTAATTTGTGGGGGGTTTGTTGTAGTCCTGAACTGGGCAGGTGAGCTCTCTCTTTCGCTCTTCTTTTCTCTTCTTTTCTTTTCTTTTCTTTTCTTGCTTCGGCGCATCTGTACGCGTTTGCTTTGATGGGTGATTGGTTCCCGTGAATCTATCTCGACTTCACGTTCACTTCTCCCCTCAAACTCTCATTCTCGCCCAAACCAACTAATCCCCCATTAATTCCGCCTATTACTCACATCTAATCTATCCTCACATAGGAAATCACACGCAACACATCCACATATCCCCTACCCAACACCCCCTTCCTTCCCCCTAGACTTCGCACAACTCCTTCAAGCAACGACGAGTAACCCGTCCAGAGCCAACGCTCGTGTACGTGGGTTCAGTTCGAGTCATTCTAAGGATGCTGGTGGTAGTGGGAAGCGTGGTGGGACGAGTATTGTTGGTACCAGTGGGGGACGGAGGATGAGAGGGAATGGGAGGAGGGAGGATGTTATCGAGGAAGAGGATGGTTGGGATTTAGTTTGATTTCGGGGGTTGGGGAGACTTTGGGTGTGAGTGTGCAGTCGTGTTTCATCTTTTCCTCTTGAGCATTCTCCTTTTCATGTTGCCTTGCGTCTTACTCGGAGCTTGAAGCTTTGCAGTGAGTTCTGTGCCATACCTTGATGTATCTATATCCATCGCTGCCGCTTGCATGTTGACCGCTGTAGTATATCGCTGATAGAATGAAATATATTGTATTATAACCGAGTAACGGCGTAGTGATGCGTAGTATTCCATGAATACAGTCCGAATGGTTTGAGGGATGTCATAAAGATTTCATATTCTTATACATTTTTCAAACAATGCCATCGGATATGGTGTAGTGGCTAACATTATCGCCTCTCATGATCCTCTAGGATCCGAAGGAACGCGATAGCCCGGGGTTCAATTCCCCGTATCCGAAGTATAGTCTTCACATAGCCTTTTTGTTAAGTTATATAAACAGAAAGATCGTGTACTTATTGTAAAGTAAGCCTACCCGTCCGGGGGTCCGTCGTAGTAAGTGTATAAGCCGTAAATTTTATGTACGGCAGATGACAACGGTCGATCGAAGGCTGAATTGGAGGATGCTCTGTTTTTGTTCGACAATTACAGCATTAGCTGGAATCTCAATGTAGGTGCACTGCGCCGGGCCTGTCCTTCTTGCAAGCATTAAGTTGATCTCGCGACTGGTCCGGTAGGTTTCCAGTACAGTCCGTTCAACAAGTCAGCATCCCAAGTGCAGATGTCAATGACACGGTGGCGCAAAGAGGGCTTTCAATAAGTCTATCTTGGTCCAACTGACCGAGTTAAAAGCCAACCTTTTTCAACGTTCCATAATGAGGACGGAAGTACAACATTTTACGGATATAAAAGGAGAAAATGCGTGATTAACTACGTATCGATGCATGAAACAATTAGCCCAATGTATACAACGAAAACAAGAGTTCATGACAGAATGCTGGATATCTATGCAAGAGTCATTCGAAACGGTAACCAATAAGACCAATCGTTAACAGCCAGATGGGACACTAGAATCGTCCTCATAGTTCGCAGCATTGACACCGAGACCACGACTGGCGAATGCATTCCAGAGAGTGCACTTGTTGGAGCCATCGTAGCGATTAACGTCAGCCTGGATCCAGGCATCACGAGCGCTGGTGAAGGTGGGGTTGCAGGGCTGGAGTGCCAGGGCATCGAGGAAGAGGTGGAGGAAGACCACGTTGCCAGCGGTGCCGCTATTCAAAGTGCCAGTTATCAGTCGTCAGCGTTAGGAGGGAAAACAGTAAGACATACGATGGATCAGTGCGAGCGGTGGACGAGAAACCGTGGGCACCAATGAGAGCAGCGTAGACATTATGCAGCAAGTTCGCCCAGACCTCGCCAATGTTGTGGACTTCGTTCAGTTCACCGACAGAAGAGTAGCGCAGAGGATTGGTGGTTGCGCTCGTAGAGTAAGGGTGGGATCGGATACCGGCAGGGTCGTCGATCACATATTGACCCATAACGTAGTCGCTGACAGTGGCACTGTCATGTTCGGTCCATCTTCAAAAATGTGAGTCAGAGATGAGAACGGCACGAAGAAACGGTCGAGCGTACTCAGCCAGGGCATCAGACCAGCCCTCTCCCATACCGCCAGCCTCAGTGGTCTGGAGGCAACGACCGGTTCCTCCACCGGTCATGCGGTTCGTGATGCCATGCGTGTTCTAAGAAAGCTGATATCAGTCACAACCAGAGGCAGGCCGAACAAGTGCGGCATACCTCGTGGACAATGATATCATTCTCGAGAGCACCATCACGGTCGGGGCTAGTGAGGTCCCAAAGGAACATCCTCATGTGTCCACTCTGACCATCAGGAGGAGTCGAGAAGTCGGCGTTATCAGTTCCTGCGCTGTCCTGAACGCTAACTGTCACTCGGTCGTTGGCCTTTCCGCCCTTGTTGAAGTTGCTGTTCTGGAAGTTAAAAGCAGATTCAGTGAAGCCGTAGCGATATGCGATGTCATGAATGGTGTTGACGATGTAGAATGCGTTGACACGGGCGGTGTTCAAGTTGGCGGTGGTCGTGGGAGCTTGGCTGGGGTTCTGTTGGTAGATGAACTCTCCGGAGGCGGATTGAGAAGAGGTGCCAGAAGTGCTGCTCTTGTAGGCGATGGCGTTGTTACCACTGTATAGTATAATCAATGGTCAAATCTACAGGTCATGCAGCCATCCTAAAGAATAAAACTCACGCAGTGGTGGTCGTGGTAGTAGTACCGTCGGAGTGCCAGCCTTGAGGTGAGGCAATGGTGTCTTGAGGATCAGTCAAGTTCTCAAAACCCTCAGTCAAGACCTCCTTGTTGATGGGAAGGACCCGATACTGTCGAGTATGTTATTAGATAACTTCTACAGAGTTTATACCAAGGCTGAACTCACAGTTGCTTTGGAAACAAAGTCCGTCACAGAGACGAGGTCGCCGGAGTGGGCATCAACGAATGCTTCGAACCACCTGTTAGCGTCCTCGTTGCGGACTTGGAAGACATGGGCTAGCTTGGCGGACCCATCGGCCTGTGCGACATACTCAAGGGTAGGAGCAGGGAAGTTCTCAGCATCGAACTTGCCGCCCAGCTTCTCCTCAGCAGTCTTGATAGCGTCCTCAACCTTGATAGAGGGATCCGCGGAAGCGACGTGGGCTGGAGAACATTCATAAAGATAAGTAAAGATGCACGAGGGTCTGATGAAGTGATATCACTTACAAGGCTTGACAAAAGACGAGCCGAAAGCGACCACCTTGTTATCGCGATTGAATGCGACGTTAGCGACGGCATTCGCGACAGGCACACCGTTCAACTTCTGCTGAACATAGGCATGTGCCGCACCACTGCTCTCGAAGGACGAGCGGACGCGAACATCATCATCGCTGAGACCCAATTTTTTGTGAATGAAGGCGAGGGCCGAATCTCCGATGGTAACACCGGCACGCTTCGACAGAGGGTGGTCAACGCCAGAGCCGAAAGTCTAAATTGTCATTCAGACGTCAACATAGAAGTGAGCCTGACAGCGGCAGGAACGTACTTCATACGAAGACTCAGGATGGAAAGTCTCAATCTGGATATCCCTGCCAATGTTACGCACCCGATGAGTCGCGTGCTTGGCACTGGGAGCATAGGGTGCGGCAAAAGCAGCTGTAGTGGAATAGAGGATGGCGAGGAAGACGGACGCAAAGAACTTATTAAAGGAAGTCATTGCGCTGTTCTGTTGGGTAGGGGTGTGAGGAAAGGTGAGGAAAGATGAGACTGGACTGGTGAAGGTCTGTCTGAGGGTCGAAGACAAAAGACGGTCGTCGCCTGGAAACCTACAAGCCAATCAACAACGGCTTTTATATTGTTGAAGAGCTCGAGAAGCATGTGCCCAGAACAACGCCAAGACTGTGGTTCTGCATGGCTTTGTCGCAGAGGAATGAGCATGTCAGCTAGACATGGTGCTCGAATTGGCTTGAGCGTATGGAAGAGCAAACGATGTAGAGCAGACCGGGAGTGTTGCCTCGTGAACTTGCACAAGGGACAGGGTGGAACACGGTGCCTTTGCACGTTATCTACCCGAACCTTGTGCTTCTTCAACGTTGAACGTGATGATGACGGTATGCGACGAATCAGCGGAGCGTGGTCGAGGCGAGTGATTGATTTATGAACGATTGTAAGGTCTCCGCTGGACTCCGGCTCAGAAATGTCCTAGTCTGCGAAATCAATTATCAAGTGCAACCATCACAATTACAGAGGTCCATGGAGACCAGGGAGTTCAGTGTCACTGATACGGTCGAGGTTCGCCAACCGTAAGACTGCATGCGTACTTATGCACCCCGTCAAGATCGTACGAAAATAATTCAGATGCAGAAGGAAGGCAAGCTCACGTGAGTTGCATAAGAGCTGCAGAGTGTAAAGTAAGTTCTATGATACGTTGTCCTTCAACTGTTTCGATCACCATGCGAAGCTAAAAGAGACCGTGCGGAAGAATGCTCATGAGCCCCGCTAGCGTCCCGTTGGGATCACGCGAGCTCGGAGAAGCAATACGCCGCATGGCTACGGAGGTTCTGTTATTGAAAAGTCAGCATTCATACGAAAGCATACCGAACACCTTCTCGCCGGGAGAGGGCAATGTGGTAATCATGGCGGATGTAGAGCAAGAAGCGATCGCAGCGCCTGTAGTAGCATCACTGTACATACCATATGAGGACATTGGTGATTGCCAGAACATTCCGACAAACTTCGCAGCAAGTACACTACTTAGTATATCGACATCGTCGAAATAGATCAGCTGGAAGGTTTCGAAGCAAACGTTGAACGGGGCTTCAGCGGTATCTGACCGGAATAACATGATGTTGCTCCCGATACAACATGTTTAATTCTCGCATTCGCTACAGTATCGGGCTCATACATATTAATTGAATACACCTAGTCATGCTCTAGTGAACACTACTAGTGTTCGGATAACTAATGATAGCTGCTGCATGGTATAGGAGAAGTGGGCTACATACGCTCTCTGTAGTGTGTCATACCCGACGTCCACGTAGCTGCAGAATCTATCGCTTGTGTGTCGACTTGTGGAACCGCCGTTGGAAATGTGCCATCAATTTGACTCTCAGGTTCCCATTGTGCATCCGCCACATTCCCATGTGAGCAGTAGTATTGCCGCATCAAGGAGTGTTCCAATGGCAGATTGCTTTGGGAGGGATCAGCAAAATACATTGGTGCTCCAGACGAGGCCTGACGAACGGTATGCAAGTGAAGGGGAACAGTGGCGGGTATAGCACATGATGAATCGGAACAATCAGAATGGTCCAGCAGACAGGTATTGCTCGGAGAGTCAGTCGTGTCATCACCATCACAATCGTAGGGGTCCCAAGTACGATGCGGGTTGCACATCTCACATCCACCCAACCAAGAGTGCATAACATCATTCTTGTCCGGTGCTGCGGCGACCTTGGCATAATAGACCTCGTTTGCTGGTAGAGAACCTTGGAGATATATTCTGGCATATCCGACAAATGCAGAGGTGAGGGGCTACCTACCATGACATGGAGTGAAGGACATACCGAAGCAACGGCGCGACATGTTCACACCGGTCCTGTATAGCTTGCCACTGACTCTCAGTAAGGCGCAAACCTCTAGCGATGTCGGGAATCAAACTGGCCAGTGTTGTCGTAAGTACAGGATCCCCGATTTCTAGCTCGTCGAGCGAATACCATATCAACTGGACATATGTTGGTGGCGGGGCTTTTTGGTCTTTGAAGACATTCTCGTAAGCAATGTGACAGAGATGAGCAAATCGTTGAGCGATACGCGGGAAATGATATTTCGCAACTTCAAGCGACCAGATATCTTGATTCTTCAATTCCGAATCAGCAATCAACCAGCCTGGTGGAGAGAGCATGAGCAAGCCTCATAAACTACTGGACTAGCATGAACTCACCAAGAGCGGAATAGAACTCTTCGATACGTAGCTTGAAACCCCCTTTGTTTATTGTCACAATGAACGGCTCAGGTAACCGAACACTTCGGGTTTCGCTATAGGGGAATGTTCTCATCGGTACGACAATGATAGACAGTAAAGCACAAACGTACAGGGAGGTTAAAATATTAAAACGAAGTTCCCCCATCGTATCAGAAGCGATGACCTCTTGGTACGTAAGAACGAGCTGGGGCATACTACATCTTTGCCTAACATATCTGCACAACTACCCGCCACATTAGTATCAAGAGAGAAAGATTTTGTATCCATAAATTACCTCGTCATAACCCCACCCTAAAGGCTCTGGAAACTCATCTATAATTGATAGTACGTTTGCCATTGTCGGTTACGGGATGATAGCGCAATTGTATGGCAGATCAGATGGATCAGTAGCTGACTTTATAGCCTTCCGGATACGCCACAGACCCTGGAGAGCTTGTACATCATAGCAACGATGCCCCGGATACCCTGTTAAAATTCTTTCGAGGTTGACGTAACACACCGATGATGCTATGGGCAAGACAATAATATAGTTACGCCTCCAGCGACAGCAACAAAAGTCGCAAGCGACAATTGTGCTGTTGATTACGGTAGCATATTTTCTATAAGCCGGCATTTGAGTGACATCGCCACGAGATGGCGACTCCAAATGAGAAATAAATACAAACAGGATATGCAGCATCATCAAGGCGGGACACCCTCAAGTGAGACTGATGGGTCGCAGACATGGAGGCAACAGGATGTATGATTCCAGACCACAGTATGTGGATAATACGACCCAGAGTCCAGAAGTCATACAAGTATAAAGGAATCGATGCGGAGAGATACCGAAGAAGTCAAAGATAAGAAGCGATTTCGTTCAAGTCAGAGACCTCTGAGGACGGTATCAGCAAGACACCGTCCACGGCCGAGTCTAAATGGCGCCGCACGATGGAAGTAGGTAGAGGTGTTTCTCGAAGGGAGCAATGTGCAGCAGAACCATAGTAGAGGTGAGCGTAACGACCTCGAGATGCGGGAAGATGTTCACTGCCAGCTTAAGATCATAGCCATCTCGCAGTTGCGTCGGTTGCATTTCTGTTACCGTAGTCACCCAGCCTATAAGAGATCCAGGATGGGACGAGAGAGAAAGGGGAGAGACTTTATACAGCAAGCAACCTAGATGTCCCAGATGGTTGGATGAACGGGAATGGTGATTATACCGGACATAAGTACATCGCCTGATTCGTGGCGTCAAGGCAATGATTGAGGTCTTCGGATTATATAGCGCTGAGTGTTTCCAGGCACCCTTAGAAGCCACGACGACGCTGCTGCGCTACGTACTCGATGGTCTAAACACCAATTTAGTCGTTTGAACGGACAAGACATAGAAAAGACTAAACGGCGATCAAACCTGCTTCGCTCCTTAGAGTGTAAGGTCTTGAATAAGGTCAGCTACAGAAAGCCGACGGCTTAAATTACTAAACAAAGGGGTTGGCCCTTTCCTTGGAGGATACTGTGATCAATATATCCCAGTAGGCGTAGACTGTAACAGGTACTAGTCGATGTTGAGAGAATATCGCACCGTATCTTCAAAACAACTAAGAAAAACAGTCCACGTACGTCGTTGCCACAGAACTGAAGCATTCACTCGTACCATCCAGGGGGAAGATAACAGGCAGCTAGATCCGCTGATTGAAATATAACACCAGCAAGGTTCCAGTAATGATCTCAAACCTATGAGCAGACGTCTCCAGAAGGTTACAAACACACGTTAACTATCACGACACGTTAGCCTAGCCGATGCTAGCATCGCATACATACGTCCGTCCCAGAAGTGAACCGTTTGATAAAAGCAGGCAAGCAAGTGACAAGAGCTTGTTCTGTTTGAGAGCCTGCAGGTAATAGACGCCTAAATTACCTAATCCGTCTGGGCGCTTCACTTTACCAGAGAGAATCAACCGGCGTGGTCAACGAGCACCAAAAGTCAAGACATTCGACCCTCCTCAAGCACTCTCCATGTCGGTGAGTCCTCCGAATCGCATTCTAGAGCTCCGAAGGACGTACTGCTGGTCGAAATCGCGAAGAAAATCGGAGGAGAAAGGGTGGATTTGGAAGGTGTGGGGTGGATGACTTCGGCGAGGTTTGGATGAAACGGAGTTGATGGCCTTGGAAATGGTGCTGAGATGAGGACTCTTGGAAAGGGCGGGTTTTGGTATCGGAATGATGACTTTGGCCTGCAGGATTCGTCCAAAGGAGCTCTGGATGCATGTGTGCGTTCTATTTGACATACTGAACTCTTTCTTTCTTGCAGGCCCAGGAATCAACCTTCAAGCGCTTCGTCGAGGTTGGGCGAGGTGCATATTCACCTAATATCAAGATTTTGAACAGGTTTCGCTAATTCAAGATGTAATATTGCAGTTGTCCTCCTCAAGTCCGGTCCTTATGAAGGCCACATCGCTGTGATCGCTGAGATTATCGACCACAACCGGGTACGACTTTCAATACTACACGTCACGTAGAACTCCCGCTGACCGCATACTTGTATGCATTTTTCAGGCTATTATCGACGGTCCCACAACCGGTGTCCCCCGTCAATCTTTCCCTTACCGCCACCTCACTCTCACCCCTCTCAAACTCTCCAAGCTGCCCCGTGCAGCTGGTACCGGAGTTGTCCGCAAGAACATTGAGGCGGATGGTATCGTCGAGAAGTGGAATAAGTCCTCATGGGCACAGAGGCGCGCTGCTATCGAGAAGCGAAGGTCATTGAACGACTTTGAGCGTTTCGCTGTTATGCTTGCGAAGAAGGCTCGGGGGGACCGTGTCAGGAAAGCCATCAAGGCTGCCAAGGCATGAGTTGTTGCCCACTCTTCTTTTGGTTGCGCTCGATTGCTGGTGGGGAGGTGTAGGGGAGGCAGACAAAACGGGCTTTCATCTGGCTTGGATGGGTGATGTGAGGCGCGTCCTACCAGAGTATACATCATCCTCGTCATTCGTATTGTTTTTTTATGCATCACCATGAACATGACATGCCAAACATGCTTCACGCCCACGAACTCTTATACGTCTGAATATCTGAGAACGACTTGGCATGAATCACGAGGTACGATATAGAACTAATGCTCTGATTTATGTCTCTTCGATCTTTTTACTGCACCTTCCGCCTCGAGTTCCTTCAAAGCAGCTTCGGCCCAACCAGAGAAACCATCACGCTCAAAAGCATTTTCTAGTCTAGCTTGTGCAGCCGGCCATGTCCATTCACTTTCGCCTTCATGAACTATAAGGTGCGGCGGGTCAAGCGGAGGTGCATCCTCGCCATGTTCTTCAGGTGCTGGTGGCCTATGTATTCGTGATGAAAGCATGGGCATGTATCGTTCTACGGCACTGCGCATTCTATCCGCAAATTCCTGTGTCTACAGGGGAGGAATGAGCCATCTTATATACCAACAACACCAGAAGAAATACGTACATCACGGACACCCATGGAAGATTTGACACCTATGATAGCGGTAGTTGCACCAACCGTGACAAGTAGTGTTGCTAAGCCGAACGCTTTTGCAGTGTACAATGCCGCATTGAATCCATCTTCCGCTGACGGTGGTTCGTCTGAGGGATTTGAGGTTTTGGATGTCGAATGTGAGGAAGCAGACACTGAAGCAATAGAACCCGAATTTTGCGCACTTGTTACGCGTCTTGGCGGAGGGGCTGATCTTGTGCTAAGGCTAGTAGCTGTGATAGAAGTACTCAAGGCCGTTCGTCGAGGTGGTGGAGGTGCAGAACTTTCGAGTGTTTTTGTAAGAACACTAGCTCTTTGTCGACGCAAAAGTACGATGGGTACCGCAAGTGCAGCGGTAGTCAAGGCCAGCTACGTCCAAGGTAACGTTACAAAAGTATTCCGTCATAGACAAGAAGAGGAAAGGAGGTATCAGAGCAATGAGACGCACGAGAGATATGGGCACCCATTTTGGCACCGATTTCTTCTCTGATTTTATGGATTCTCCGGGATGCGACATTCTTCGAGGGTTGACTAGATAGTATAAAAATATAACATAGCAGTATATATGAGGGACCGTACCGGACAAAACTTTGAAATTGTGGCAAAACTTTGAAATTGTGGGAGCTTTTGAACTTTGCATGAAGTCGTGAGAAAACTGCCGCCGTGCAAATCCGGGTACACCTTTAGAAATTTGGATAGGCGCTCAATTTGGGCGGTAAGGAGCTTTGAATTTTGTGGATGGTTAGAAATTCGAGTAGGCGCCTGAATTCAAAGTACCAGCTGCCGAGGTCAAAACGAACATTTGGCTTGACAGAAAATGTCCAGCCATAATAGCCTTTGAGTGAATATAGGTTGGCATACCAGCGGCACTCAAAGTTCTCACGCGTTGTCTTAGGATGGTTTATAGAACACAAAAATGTCATTAAAAAGGTAATACAATTTCTCAAAATGGTAATGTAAAGCTGAACATAGTATAGACGGGCAGGTCGGTTAGGAAAGAAATGCGGTTAGGAAAGAAACATGGTTAGGAAAGAAATGCAGTTAGGAGTAGGACTAGGAGGTTCATGCCAATACATTAGAACTAGTTGTAAGCATCTTGACCTAGCTTCATGGTCACCATATGAATACACTTATCCACTGCAGTGACTTCACCGTCCTCCCCTGACAGTTCCACATCTAGAGATGACCTCAGGGCTGCATTGAACCAGATGTCCATGGTGTAGAAACAGGTATGGATAGATCCTGGTATGATATCGGTGTCCGGCTACAACAAAGGGTTAAGAAATTGGTGGCAGTAAGAATGATAGTACTTACATCATACTGAAAGATTCACTGACCATCTGACATTCGTCCTGGGAAAAGAGCTGCCTGTGTAACATGCTGTTGTAGATTAAACTAGGAACACGGCACGGTTAGAGCTATAGCTACTACAGATAGTCGATGACTACTCACCAGAAAGCTCTGTGCCTTCGCAGGTAGATATGGTGTGCCACTCATGGCCTTGACAAAGCGACGAGCTCTGAAGCTGGTGTCAGTCACCACCTCTTGCATCTCAGGACCAGCAAGCTCCTGAATGTGGGGGTCCTTTGGATGACCACAACCTCTGAAGTACCTTTCGACCAGTAAGTAAAATTGAGGAAGAGCCCTCTCAACCTCCGCCGTCCATTCCCGGTCACCGGAGATGACGTAGGTAAGCAAGAGTATGATGGCTTCACCATTCCTGATGGGCTTTGTGTACGCTGCAGTAAGAAGACCTTTTAAGCCTGAGGCTATCATCTGAGAACTTGTAAGGACTTCAGTAAATGCAGCCTACATAACACTGCTCACTGTTCTGAAGCTCCAATCGCGCCCTTCAACCCTCAGATCTAGGCCTCTCTTGAAACACTGAAGGAGGGGTAGATTATCAGCTTCCTGAGGTGATATGTTCAGTCCAAGGAGAGTGGAGAGATAGATTCGATGAATAGCTTCATTCCAATCTATAGAGTCCAGCTGCTGAAAATCGGAAAGCTACCCCCTAGGATTAGCTCAACTTTGAGAGTCTGCACTTGGGCTGATTGTACCTGTTGATTGGTACCAAACTGCACTAGACTTGCAAGATCTCAACATCCTGTGCTTCCCACAGCAGGAATGGGGTCATTGGACCTCATCGGCAGTAGCTCCAAAGCAGCCGCAGTAGCTGGGCAACTGTGCTGCAACCAGTTAATATCGAACAAGGATGAATGCCCATGAATCGCAGCCACAATGAGGGAGGGAGGAAAGGGTTCCGGACCCTGGCCAACCTTTGCCAGAATAGTGGCAGCGAGTACTCCTCCTGCATAGGCGTCGTCCTTTTGCAAGTGAGTAACCAGACCTGAGAAGTGGTTAAGATACTGACATCCGTCTTCATACGGCATGTCACAGTAGGCATTGGATCTGGATATGAGCAACAAAGCCTCAAACAAAACCTCACGCTCAACGCCAGTTCCAAGGTCATCAAGGCCCTCTTCCCCATTTCTGAAAGTTGAACTGAGCATTAGCCAGGAAGTGCTGTTAGGAGAATAGTGAGACTCACACTGCCACAACCCAACCCCGGCAAATCAGATCGCCAGCCTCAAAATCTGCTGGTACAATGCTTACAGGATCCGAAAGTTCTTCCACAACCTCTCTCCAATTGAAAGGTGACTTTGGTCGAGTACGGCATTGGCGAATAGCATGAACAAGGGCGATTGCAGCATCCCTAACACTGCAAGCTCAGATGTAGAGGGTAGGTCAACCCTCCTCCTCAACCAAAGCATCAACCTCCACCTCTAACTCATAAAGACCCAGGGTACGGTCACTCACAATGCGGCGGGGTGGGGCATCTTGATGTAGCTGATATCGACGACCTAGCTGGTAGCCTGAGAAAGGGTCAACTCCAGGCCTAGGCTGAGCACCACTGGGAGGCTCAGGTGGGACCTCCAATTCACTGGAGGGGTCAGCTGGAACCTCCAGTTCCTCTGCAGGAATTGGTTGAAGTGGAGGTGGGCTTGGTGACAGAGCAGCAGGGAGGGAGGGAGTTGGTGAAGCAGGAGGTAACTGTGCCAGGGAAAGTTGACGAAATGCATTAAGAGGGGTGGACGACTCAGGTGGGGTTTCCAATCCAGATGTTGAGGTAGTTACAGGTTCTGATGAGGGTATGTCAATGTCCATGGGCACCGGAGCCGGTACCTGAGGGCAAATGGTGGTGCAAGCAATGGGAGGGTATACAGGAGAATCGACAGGGAAGTCCAAGCACTGAATGATCTTTCTGTGAAGGCAGTGGTGGGTTGGGCCGCCAGGGCTGAGAGGACCAGCAATCGGACCACCTTTTGGACCTATCCCAGAAAAGTCAGTTACATTACATTAATGGCGTTCAACATCTTTGAACTTACTGAGGAGGAATCGACTCTCTGTGTCAGTGGGGTGAAGAATTTTCTTTCCCAACCCATTCTTGAATGCCACAAAGTTGTATTCAGAGAACTGGACATTGTAGGTTCAGATGTGATAGTTACCTCGAGTGCGATAACTGCCATAGCAAGTGTGGAAGGGAAAGTTGTGAAGTTGCTGACGTTCTGCCAAACTTCTGTTATCACCGTAGGATTGAAATGTGATTGGTTCATAAGCAGGCAGTAGCAAGCCTTTGGAGTGAAAGGCGGAGGTGAGAGCAGATAAGAACTGGGGTAGAATGAACTGGGCAGGGTCAGATGCTTCTACCACCATGTCGAAGACTAAGCCCACCTCCCTCATGTATTGCAGATCTGGTAGCATGTTGGTTGAGGATCGAAGTCTGAGGTTCAATAGATCGCAGTTGTCTTCCATCATGGGTGAGTCGGGGTGAAAAGTGTGCTAAATGGGAGAAATGTTAGAGACTGAGCAAGAAGTAATGAAAAATGATTAGCATACATCTTGTGGTAAAACCATGACAGTGACTGGCAAAGTCATCCTCCCCTTGACTTTCGTCGATCCAGACCCCCTTCTATGATCAGACCGCGTGGGACCCCCGGAGCCTGAAGCCAAGGCCGAGGTTACACCTTGAGGAGCGGGACCTAAGCGAAACGGTTAGAGGGTGGGAGGGATTTGGTACATCGGCAATATTAGTATTGGTAGAGCAGGTAGGGTGGAAGACGCAGTGGGAGGTAGCGTGGAAGGTGGGGGAGGAGGTAGGGGCGCCGGAGCTAAGGGCATTCTAGGCGTTGAGGTCCAGGTTGGTGGCAAGGAGGGTACACCAGAGGATGCGTTGAACTGGTGCTGTGAAGAAGGTGGGACAAACCCCGGAATCCCCATTGACTGATTACCTTGAGGCTCCAATGACATGGCAGGTTGAGCAGAGCTACCAAGAGGGATAGAAGTTAAGAACCAATGAGAAAGACTGCATGGAAGGACTCACCCAGAGACCGGCATAGGAAGGTGAGCACCGTACCTGGCTCTACAGGTTGGACAAATGCAGGTGGCATGAAAGTCTGTCGGTGGCTGGGGATTTGTCAGTTGGAGGTACTGCAGTGCTGTCTGATGTAACTTACACCGGCACTTTGGAAAGCTGGGCATTCCATAGGTGGACACCTCCCCCTAGCTGGCAGTACTTGTATCGGGGTGTGGTCTGACAGATCATGACCACAAATGCACCCATCCTAGACATTGAGGCTCAGCATTGGGGGTGTGGAGGAAAAAAGAAAAAGCTTACACATTCGGGATCATAGTGGGCACAAGTTTCAGGACCACACCGGCGACAAGGCATCAGGCCGTCTTGACCATGAGAGCCCGAACCAGGTAAAAGAGAAGGCATAGTGATGTAGAAAGTAACGGGAATGAAGTGCTGTGAAGAGCCTGAGTAGAAGCAATGCACACTGAAGTTGCAGCTGTACTAACCTTGCCTTTGTATACCAAGGAAAATATCAATACAAGGGGTGAAACAAGACGGAAGCGAAACCTGCCACGGCCCCAAAAGTTCCACCTGCCAGCTAATCGCAATTTTCCACCAAATTTCTCTCTCCAGGTAAGACATGAAATTGGCTTAGGTGTGACCGGAATGGTCAGGAGTGAAGAACTGAATAATTCTAAACCCCCATCGCAGAACAAAGAGCCATGGTCTCAAGCTATCTACCACCCAGAATTTAAGCATTCTCTTGGTAAGGCACAGACCGATTGAGGCTGCCCACGGTCGTTCTTGCATGCTCAGGAGAAAGTGGGACCTCCTGTTGGATGTCAAACTTGCATTTAATGTATGGAGAAATTCCCAAAGTACAAGCTGTGTCCTACCTTTTAAAGGCACTTGATTCAATCTGCTAAAAACCCTCAGGTTTGTCCTCTCATTGGCGAACCGGCTTCTTGAAGCCTAAGTCCATTCTTCCATATATGGCAAGGGCTTTGCCCAGCAGGAAAAGTTCCTGTTCTACCACCCATCAGGTTTCTGTCAGCGAAGCTCACACGTAAAAGCCCCTCACCTGGAGAAGACACTTTGAGCCATATCCGAATGGCATTGGCAGCGTGAGAAGGGAAGGGGAAACCAGGTTCAATTTTGCTCCCCCTCCCTTTCTCTCTCTTACCACCACCATCTACTTCCCGGGCAGTGCATGTCACATATGCCCCTCTGCAAAAACCTATTAAAAGTATTAAATGTGATGTCGGAAGCAAGCGGGGTGCTGACTTCCAGGGGTAATGGCAAAGGCAG